TCATACATCAACCGCCTGAACCATTACACCCTACAGCTACTTCATAGCCATTCGATGCATAGGATTAGACGTAGTAGGACCAATTGCGCCAAAGTCATCTGCAGGAGAAGCTTACATCCTGGCTGCAACAGATTACTTCTCCAAGTGGGCTGAAGCCATACCCCTGAAGGAAGTCAAGAAGGAAACTGTCGTCCGTTTCATCAAGGAACATATCATCCACCGATATGGCGTGTCTCGCTACATTGTCACTGACAACGGAAAACAGTTTTCCAACCGACTCGTGGACGAGCTCTGCGAGAAATACAAGTTCAAGCAGCACAAATCCTCCATGTATCATGCTCCGGCCAACGGTCTTACAGAAGCATTTAACAAGACATTGTGCAACCTCCTGAAGAAGGTAATCGGCAGAACAAAGAAAGACTGGCATGAAAGAATAGGCGAAGCACTTTGGGCATACAGGACGACATATAGAACACCTACCCAAGCTACACCTTATTCTCTCGTATATGGCGTGGAAGCTGTTCTACCGCTCGAAAGTCAAATCCCCTCGCTAAGGATGACTCTACAAGAAGGCTTGACTGACGAAGAGAATGCAAAATTGCGCCTTCAAGAGCTGGAAGCCCTGGATGAGAAAAGACTCGAAGCCCAGCAACACTTGGAGTGTTATCAAGCACGACTCTCCAAGGCCTTCAACAAGAAAGTTTTCCCTCGTTCTTTTCAAATGGGAGATCTCGTCCTTTCATTGCGTAGGCCTATCATCACAACTCACAAGACAAAGAGCAAATTCACGTCAAAATGGGATGGACCATACGTAATACAAGAAGTCTACACCAATGGCGCCTACTTAATCATGGTGGAAGACGGCTTGAAGATCGGCCCTATCAATGGCAGATTCTTGAAACGCTACTACCCCTGAAAGGCGACAACTCATGCTCTTTGTTCGCACGAGCCTAAACTGCATGAACCAAAGCTCCTGGCCCGCAAGAGCATAAACTGTGTACGGCAAAATCATCATCAAAATTACTGTTAAATTCATCACTCATTTGAACTACGTTATGGCTTGATCTCTTCTTTGGAAGGGTACGTAGGCGGCTCGAACATTCAATTTCAAGTTCAGTCATATCAAAATAAAATATATATATAAAAGTTTTATTAAAGAAAGTCAATTTTATTACAAAAGAATAAATAAATAAATACATATGTTATTATGTATTTACAAAAAAAAAATAATCAAATCAAATCAAATCAAATTTACAAGAGGGGATCTTCAAGGACGATCAGGTGCCGCCTCACCACTCGGCAGAGCTCCAGAAATGAGAGGCGCCGGAGGTTGACTGTTTGAAGCCACACCACTCGACGAAACTCCAGGAAGAAGAGGAGCCAAAGGTTGATCATTTGGAGCTTCATTACGCGGTACAGCCCTAGAAGACGAAGGCAAATGCTGCTGGAACAAACCCACAAACCTCTGATGATCAAGTAAAATCTGACCATCAGATTCCTGTATCTGGTTAATCTTCCTCTTCATGTTTGTTGCATAGCTATATGCGAGCTTATGCAACTGTTTATTCTCCTGCTTGAGCCCTCTAATCTCCTGTTTGAGACTCATCACTTCAGCCGCCAATGATTCAACTTGACGGGTTCGAGCAAATAGGCGTTGGGCCATATTAGACACAGAACCTGCACACTGCACACTGAGAGCCAGAGAATCCTTAACAGCCAACTCATCAGACCGTTTGGAAAGTAGTCTGTTATCTCTGGGAGTAACAAGGTTTTGGGCCACCACCGCAGCGGTCATATCATTCTTCACCACCGAATCCCCAACGGTAAGAGGACCAGTAGGGGATATGAAGGATGGGCGCCATATGTTATCTGGAGAAGACGGGACTACCTCTTCACCAAGGTTCAAATCAAAACAACGGTCGGAGGGTCCAGACATTTTCAAAGGTGTTGAAGAAAGAAGAGGTCGGACAAATCAAGATCTTAGAAGTGCAAGAAGGGAGTTTCTACAAGCGAAAATTCAAGTGTGCTTTGAAACGAACTGCGTGCCTCTATAAAGATCAACACTCGACGGGATTTCAAAGATTGAAGAGGCGAGCTCAGAATTCGAAGAGGCCAATTCAAAAATCAAAGAGGCAAGCTCAGAAATCGGAGAAGCATCTTGCTTTTCTAGAAGCGTTAGCACCAGTCACGCGCAAACTCAGCTTTGCGGAAATCACGGGCAATTTGTTAAAGCGCCAATCCCAGATATCGAAGAGGCGCCAGTCTTTTTCAGCCTCGTCAGCACCCGTCACGTGCAAACTCAGCTTTACGGAAATCACGGGCAATTTGTCGAAGCGCCGATCCTAGATATCGAAGAGGCGCCAGTCCTTTTCAGCCTCGTCAACACATGTCACATGCACACTCAGCTTGACGAAAATTACGGACAATTTGTCGAAGATTTCTGATAAAGAAGAAAGCACGTGAAGCCATACTGATCAATCATGCATTGGTTGCCGACACGAGTAAAAGAATAGTACCTCTACAGGTACTAAAGAATTTCCTATAACTATCCACCTTCACCCTCCATAGCAAGGCAGACATACATAACCTTTCTTCATCTCCGAGAATGCCTTCCCAACGAAGCCTCTCGAGTCACTCAGTGTTTCTTATTCCTTACGGTACCTCTGCAAACAAATGACACCAAAGCAAAAGTATCTCATATCACCAGGGTAGAAACCAAGAGTATCTCATATCATGCGTTCTCCCTGTCCTTTCCTTTTTCCTTGTTCTTACTTACAAAGACAAGGATAAAGAAAACAATATGCCGGAACCTCCACTCAAACTCGGATGCCACATTTGCCTGGAGAACAGATAAGGCAAGTGAAAATGATACCTTGCAGCATGTGGAGACAACATGCAGAAGAAACAAGCAGAGAAGAATGCAGTCTTCACAGTCAGCTCAGCAGAAGGAGTCCGAGCTGAGAAACTCAAGAAGCTGCCACATCTGCCTGAAGAAACAAGCAGAGAATAATGCAGCCTGCACAGTCAGCTCAGCAGAAGGAGTCTGAGCTGAAGAACTCGAGAAGATGCTACATTCTACCAGAAGAATAGATAAGACAAGGGAAAATGATACATTGAAGCATGTGGAGACAAGCACAACAAAGCACGTGTCGATTCATCCGCTACTTCTTCAAAATCAAAAGTATCTCATATCATCAGGTTTGCAATCACTCTGGGTGGAGGGCTCGTTTTGACCCTCAAATTCTTGGGTCGACTTGCTAGGCGTTGTGGGCTGCATGTGCCATTTCACCACCCTTGAATCAAGTCCTTAAAGATCAAGTCACCAACTGGAAGAAGAGCCCATCAATCTTGAAGATCATACCGTTGACCAAACTGCTCAGGTGTGAATTAGAAAGATTGAACAAAGCAACAAGTCATCACCTTCACCTCGTGCCTGCTTGCCATGTGTTCGAGTCAACCTTCAAGAATCAAGCATCAACGGCCCTTGAAGAAGTTTCCGGCCAAATTCAAGATCAAGCCTCGACGGCCCTTGAGGAAATCACAAGTCCGATTCAAGATCAAGCGTCCACCATATTTGAATCAAATCCAGTTCAAGAATAAGCTGTGGAAAATCAACAATTGGAGGAATCCAAAAAATCCTCCAACCCAGTTCAAGATCAAAGCTGTGGAAAGTCAACAAAGCGCAAAAACAAATACGTGCCGATTCATCCACTACCAAAGCCAAAGATCATCTACCACATAAAGCTCCTTGTGGTCCAATTTCAACCTTCAAGATCAAGCCTCGACGGCCCTTGAAGAAATTTCAAACAAAGTCCAAGAACAAGCCTCAACGGCCCTTGAAGAAATCTCCAGCCCAATTCAAGATCAAGCCTCGATGGCCCTTGGATTGACAACTACATTAAGGGACTTCAAAAACGCATCTCCTACATGTAACAAGCACATGTATACAACGCGCCTTGAAGTGGGGGCATTTGTAGACATTGAAATTTCGGTGGCATAAATGTTAGCCATTGCATTAAGATTACATTTGTAAACATTGAAATTTTGGTGAAATAAATGTTGACCATTGTATTAAAATTACAACCTTCATTCACTTCACCTACATCATACACTAAGTTCACCTACAACATCCACCAAGTTCACCTACAACATCCACCAAGTTTCACCTACAAACATCCACCAAGTTTCACCTACAACATCCACCAAAATTCACCTACAACATCCACCAAAACAAATGGATGGTGGTGATTCGTTCCCAAAGCCTATAAATAGGCTCCTCCATCAAAGAATCAAGGAAGGAATTCACAAATACATTTCTCTACTCCCAAATTGGAAGAGAATCCCCCAAATCTTTGAAGCTTTGAAACTCTCTTCGTTCTTCGTTCTTCGTTCATCGTTCTTCCAAGATCAAGCCCCGACGGCCCTTGAAGAAAGCACCATCGTTCATCATCCGTTCATCCAAGATCAAGCCCCGACGGCCCTTGGATCAACAAACATCAACAAATCCACACATCCAACCGTTCTTCAAGATCAAGCCCAAAAGCCCTTGAAGATCCGTTCATCACCGTTATTCAAGATCAAACCTTAACGGCCCTTGAAGAAACACTCATCCTCAAGATCAAGCCCCAACGGCTCCTTGAAGATCCGCTCAAATCCACCTTCAAAGATCAAGCCCACGGCCCCTTGAAGAAACTTCCAACAGTTCATCCAAGATTAAGCCTCGACGGCCCTTGGATCAACGAAACATCCACAAATCAACACCTTACGGAGATCGAATCAGATGATCAAATTAGAGAGAGATTGTAACCCAAAATCATCAAACACAAATATTATTTTATGCACGTTGTTCTTGTCTCTTTCGTTTCAGGAATTTTCCGTGTTCACAGACGAATTTTAAGGAGAATAGAGAGCTCATAACTCAAAATTGATCGAATTTTGAATTTCAAAAAGTGAAGTGGTGACTTAAAAATAAAATCCGCAATGCAAATGCAACACTTGAAATATTGTTCCCTGCTTTTATTTGGCCAGCTGCTGCTATATGATTTTAAGCTCCTGAATCTTACCGGTTGCAGGTTGAGATGGTTTGGGGGAGTGGTGCTGCGAGTGCGAGTGCTTGCTCTCTTCCTCTTCTTGAAGTTGAAATTCTGAGCCACAATCGCAAGCCCTTATTCCTCCACTCCGATTCTCACCCTCTTACACTCAGACGGCGACGCTCCTCAACTCTCACCAATTATTCCACACCCTCTTCCTCCTTCTCCTCCTCCTCCTCCTCCTCCTCTAAACTTCAACTTTCACTTTGTTTCCAACCCTACAAAACCAAAGATTCATTAACAACTTTGCCGCAAAAAGCACTTGTGGGTTTTGTTGTTCTTGGGTCAGTTTTCTTTGCTGGGTTTGGCTGTTTCAAATGGGCAGCTGTGTCACGAGCTGCTCAAACTACTCCAAATCTGGAGGACAAGATAGAGACTACCCACCAAGGGAAAACTGAGGAGGAGGAGGAGGAGCAAATGTACCACAAAATTCTGGTGGACGACCCAAAAAATGTTGGTGCTTTGAAGGTTGTTTTGTATGGGAAACTGAGGAGAGGGAAGGCAGAGGAGGCTGTCAGCTATGTGGAGAGGTTGATTGAGCTTGAGCCGCACGAGCTCGAATGGAGGCTAATGCTGCCTCTTTGTTATGAGATCATGGGCCAACTCACTTGTGCTAAAACATTGTATCAGCAAATCTTGGAGGACAGGCCTCTTTTGCTCAGAGCTTTGCATGTATGCCATTGCTAATCGATACTGCCTTCTGGGGCTTTGTATACATTTATTATTACTTATGTTCAGATAGTTGATTGATCTTATAATTATATATATTTTGATTACTTAATGAGGTTGGATGGATCATAGTAATAGGCACGTATCCCTTTAAACTCAAAATTGAAGGATTGGCGTATTGTTGAATTGGCCCAGTGGATGAATCAAACTTTGTGCTGGCTGCTGTGTCTTTGGTTTTCATAAGAATTGCACGTAAATTACGTTCTATTTCTAGTTCGTTTCGTATTTCTGGTTTTCTAATTTAGAATTTAGAGGGATTTTAGAGTAAGAAACAACTTTTATTTCTAGTTCCATCTGTCTTTTTCTTGTTAACTGCATTGCTTCATTTTGTCTCATCACCGTTTCGGGCTTGGTGTTAGAAGTTGAAACATTCTACTTTACGAGTTGATCCTCTTTGTTGGGTTTCCGTTGAAACCTTATTTCAACAGATATATCTAGTTCACTGAGTATTTGCGTTTTCAGTTACCTAACTGGTATTCAACTTCGACCACATTAAAATTGTGGCATAATCAATGACGGTGTAGTCAGAATATTGATAGTTCACTATTGTTCTACAGTAGCCTATGTTTCTTTGCTTGAGAAACTGAAAACCTTACTGATCTTCTCTTTGTTCAGGGTCTGGCATTGGTTATGCACAAAAACCATGAAGGTCCAGCGGTTTTTTCAATGCTTAATAATGCTTTAGAAATTGCGCGGCATGAAAAAAGAGTTGTTGAGGAGAGGAATATAAGAATTCTGATTGCACAGATGCATGTTATAATGGTAACTGATAAATCTGTCCAAACCCTCATTTTCTAAACTCGTTAACTGGAGAGGGTGTGGTTATTGGGATGTCCTATGAAATTATCACTCTATGAAAGTTCTTGAATTGTATTTGAGAGCATAAATTCATTGTTCAAATTGAATTCTTGTAGGTAAAACCTATTGTTATCTGTTGCCACTTATGTTGGCGGAAATCAGAATTAATATGGTCTGTTTACAAACTTTGTGACTTTTGTATGCATTTATGCATTTTAGGGAGAACTGGAAGAAGGCTTGAATAAATTCCATGATCTGGTCAATGCAGATCCACGAGATTTTCGGCCTTATCTTTGTCAGGTGAGTTCATCACATCATTCACTTGCTTCTGCTTGTTTTTCTTTGGTTTTCCTTAAAACTTATAGTTGACTGGTATCCTAACAATCTAACAACTTTAGCTTTTAAAAACATTGGGACAAAAAAATTTACCATGTATCATACCAAGGGATCCCAAGTTCACCTGGAACTGCAACCTCCCAGTTGATTTTGAATTTATGAGTAAAGCAGTCTAAGGGTATGGGACTGGGAGTCACATGTGAGGAAATGTTGGATTATAAGACAATAGTTGACCTACATTCTAACAACTTAATCTTTCAGGAATACCGGTAAACCAACAAAATTAATAGTATCTAATATGAGATATTATTTCTCCCAGTGACTGATAGCTATCGTCCTTGAGCGACATATAATTTCATGTTGGTTCGTTTTAGCTTAACAGCCTGCTACCTATGTGCAATGGAGCACCACAAATTTGTCTCTGCCTTACGGTTGTTAAGACAATAGATTGGGTTGCAGGATCAATGAGTGCTCGAAGAAGGCACTCCACCCTATACGTATTTGCTTTGTCAAGCATTTCCAAAGTTGTACTAGCTTAGATACAAACTGTATTTTCAGAATCAAGAAAGAAAAATCACTTTAACAACGCTACCCCTCCCATGTCTCATTTAGGTCTATCTTTTGCAGAGATTAGTCCAATTAAACACAGAAGTTGTGGCAAGAGACGAGTCATGCTTTTTTTTCTTTTTCTTTTTTTACTAGTTTGAGGAATTATTCTGTTGGACTTGTTAAAGAGGGGAAGTTTTGCTTTCTGTTATATGGTTCTTTCCCAAGTATACTGTAATCCTACTTGAATGCATGGACACTGGAATGCATGAACACTGGAATAAGCTTGAAAAGTCAGTGTGCAATGCACGTTGCACATTGAGTGTATGGGATAAAATCATAGAACTAATGGTCGTTAAACAGAAAGAGAAACAAAAAGTGGTGCTTTCAGAAGTGCAATGATTACTAACTAGTTGGCATGTGTCTCAGGGAATTATCTACAGTCTACTAGATCAGAAAAAGGAAGCTGCAGAACAGTTTGAAACATATCGGGCTTTAGTGCCTGAAGAATCTCCACAAAGGGGATTTCTTGATGATGTTGTGTTGGCAGCAGCCAACAACAAATCCGGGGAACAGTTTAAGAAGGATTTTCATAAGGAGTTCTCATACCGGAAGTGATGATTGCACTTTTATATCTGGGATCTGTGGCAATTATACATTTAACTGCTGAGTATCCTTCATATACCAGGGCTGGGTTCGGTTGCATTCAACTGGATTTGAGATTGCTTGGGCTGCCACTATCCTCTTCCTAATCCCACAACTTGCACTTGTAATGCAGGTACTAAAATGTTTCCCGTTGATTGGCGATTCAGTAGCTTTTGGAAACATGACAAGCTCCAACTGTTACTATTGTCAGAAAATTTGGTTTCTTCATATGCATCTTGTAGGTACACTTGAAATTAACTGATGTTTCTAACGTGTGATACTTGATGTACAATTTGGTCGAATCTCACTTTTAAACTTTACTTTTAGATGTAACGTTCTTTCTTTCCAATTTCTTAGTAACATTCTAACGATAAATTTAATTCAGTGAGTTGAAATTGCGAGCGTACATGTCAATGTTGAGGGATGCCAACAGACGGAAATGGTTAAAATAATGTGAAGAAGGCAATGACGAAAAGCAGTGATGCATATGCGTAACTTAAGGCGTGCCTCTGCCCGGCAGCACTTAGTAGATCAATCTGTATCCGGAATAGACAATCTCCTTTGGAGGGATCGCGTGTCACCTTTGTTCCCATGCCGCTGAAATCGCATTTCCGGTAATCTTGGTCTCCTTTTTGGTAGAACTCATTGAAAGCAAAAGAGATTCTATCATGCATTTCCAAGTCACACGACCTCTTCCCTCCCAAGCTTGTGCAATCTGCCTGCGAGCACGCGTAATTGAACTCTGCTAGTGCACGGCTCAAGTTCCTAACATCGCTATTCAACACACACCACTGCTTCTGCAGGTATTTCACTCCCTCTACACCTTTTAGCATCTGATGTCCCGATGCTTGGCCGGAGAGGTCCATGGGAAACTTAGGCTTGCCATCGTAGCGAAATATTCCCCAATGGCGTTCAAAGTCCCCCGGAGCAATACTTTTCTCATCCTCGTCAAAGAGCCCGAACAGGTACACTTCCAAGTACCCTTTCCTAAGAGGGGTTCCCACTTGACTTGCCAGTTTCTTTAGGAGGCCATCATAGAACTTCTTCGCCAATCTGCTATTCCCATAGTCGTGGCCGTCAGTAGGCCATCCTACTTCCCCAATTACGATATCCAAGTTCGGGACGCCCGCCTTCTTAAGCGCCCAAAGAAGTGTGTCGTAATTTGCATCGAACACATTGCTGTACTGGGCACCGTTGTCTCTAACCGGCTTGCCACCACCATCAAAGAAAGCGAATTCTTTCGGGAAGCCGGAGCTTAGGGAGAGACTAAGGAAGGGATAAATGTTGACAACAAATGGCGACTTATGCGTACGAAGGAACTCCAGTATCTGCGACATGCTTTTCTTTATGTCCTTTCTGAAACGCCCGTCTGATGGTTTGTTGGAAGGAGATTCGTAAACATCAGCATTGAAGGGAACAACGCATTTGATTTTTCCTCCAACGCCAGCTTCGTCTAGGGCCTTTTGAACGTTTTTCACCGACGGGTAGACGTCCTTAACAAAAGTACCGTTGTAACCTGTTAAGAATGGCTCGTTCCCGACAGCCACATAGCTGTGGAAGACAATTAAACAACAACAGATGGATCAGGTCAGTCAGTTTCGCTAATTTTTGAATCGGATGACACATTTTGGACGTGAACACACGCACATGCATACCTTATGGTGACGCCCCCGTCATGAAGATACGCAGTGACATTCTGTTTGACCCATTTTCGGGCAGTTGCGTAATCATGGGCAATTTTGTTCAATTTTTCGTTGGGAATTCCGACCATGACATCAATTCCGGTGCCGGACAAGGCTTTCATGGTCGTAGGATCTGCATCGAAAAGCTTCACCTTCTTGATCCCGTTGTCCTTAAGCATCTTAACAACGTTGTTCGGAGGCAAAGGGTGCGACGACATTTGCCCCCAATTCACACCGAAACCTTGAACAAGGTCCAGGTCCACCCAGATTCCGAGCATTACGGAATACAACCACCATACAAGAAACATTTAGCTCTTAGCTAGGTAGCTACTGATCGTGATGGCGACACTTCTTTTGAACTGTGACTGCTCCTTAATTCTATGATTAATGGAGTTTAAGACGAAGAATTTAGCCAATGGAGTGGAGTTAGACAAAGATATATGCATGTGTTGGGCGGATTTGAAGGCCTCTTATTTATAAGAAAAGACACCAAAGGAAGCGCCAAGAAAGTTTGTTACTGGACTAATTTTTTCTAATTTTAGCTGCCTCTTTTCTACTAAACTTCCTACGTACGGACGCAATTTTAGTGTCTACTTTTCTCATATCATTTTTTCCGTTGGCTAAATTGTTCTGCATCCTACGTACATATATCCCGTGCTCAAGGCTGTAGAGAAACGAGCCTTGAAACTAGCTACTGGCTAGGTAGGGCACTTCACAATTTAGGACACCGTAATTATCTAATACAAGCATCGTAGATGGATAATTAAACTTGATTAATCACAGTGCCATATACAATTAACGTTTTTTATTTTACGTGGTTAGTTAATGGTGAAGTAGCTCATATCATCATCCACAACAGTCCTGCAAAGATGCTTAATGCATAAGCCGCACCAACCGCACCGTGCCTCGACGCTCCGGCGCCGACAATCTGAACTGGGAAGAGGCAATCTCCTACCGAGGGATTGCTTTTCGTGATAGTTGCCGTCCCATTAAAATCACATGCTCGAACATCTTGGTCTCTTGTTTGGAAGTAGAAGTTGAAAGCATAAGAGACGTTTCCCTGTTGATCCAAATTGCATGACCTTCCACTCCCCAAGCTTGTGCAATCAGACTCAGCGCAAGCGTAGTTCAGTTCCGCTTGCGTTTGGCTCAAGTTCTTAACGCTACTGTTCAACACACACCACTGCTTGTCCAAGTATTCCACTCCTTGTACGGCTTTCAGCATTTGATTTCCGGATCCTTTTCCGCTGAGATCCATTGGCAACTTTGGCTGTCCATCATATCGGAAAATACCCCAGTGACGTTCAAAATCTCCGGGAGCCACACTTTTCTGGTCTTCGTCGAAAAGGCCAAACAAGTAGACTTCGATTTTTCCCTTCCTAAGAGGGGTGCCCTCCTCCTTGCCAAGTTTCTTGAGGAGGCCATCGTAAAATTTCTTAGCATTTTTTATATTGGCATTCTTGTCACCATCGGTTGGCCATCCCACTTCCCCAATTACGATTTCCATGTTACCAAAACCTTCCTTCTTCAGTGCATTAATTAGCGTATCGCAGTTTGCATCAAACACATTTTTGTACTCGATGTTGTTGTCTCTAACTGGCTTGCTACCACCCTCAAAGAAAGCAAATTCTTGTGGGAAATCGGCGTTCTGGTAGAGACTAAGGAAGGGGTAGATGTTTACAACAAACGGGGCCTTACTGTCACGAAGGTGACGGAGTATCTCGACCATATTGTTCTTAATATCCTTTCGAAAACACCCGTCTGATGGTTTGTTTGACATTGATTCGTAAACATCAGCATTGAAGGGCACTGTGGCTTTGACTTTGCCCCCAGCTCCTGATTCATCTAGGGCCTTTTGAATGTTTTTCAATGCCGGGTAAGTAGTCTTAACGTAGGTACCGTTGTAACTCGTCAAGTATGGCTCATTACCAACACCCACATTGCTGTACATTAAAAGTTAAAACACAACAAAAATATGTTAATTAAACCTCTGATCATACTAATTTCAAGGATAGAAAAACGCATGCTAATTATATATGCAGATTAGGGAAAAGAAATTTAATCCAAACCTGATACTAACGCCGCCATCGCGAAGCCATTCGGTAACATTTTCCTTCACCCATTCTTGTGCCTCTGAGTAACTATCAGCAAGCTTTTCCAACTTCTCGTTCGGGATTCCGACCATGACCTGAATACCTGACCCGGCCAATGCATTCAAGGTCCAAGGCTCTGCGTCGAAAAGCTTCACTTTCTTGATCCCATTGTCTTTGAGCATCTGAACAACTTTTTTAGGAGGCAAAAGGTGCGATGACATTGTACCCCAGTTGACACCCAAACCTTGTGCAAGGTTGGTTGTGGCCAAAATCACGGACAAGGCCCATACGAGAAACACGGCGCGAGCCATGGTTTGAGCCGGCTGAACTATGGTGCACTACTGAGAAGATAGCCACACAATTAGTGACTGCTAATGATATCTTGGCTACAGGGCCTAGGTTTATGGTGAGGTTTCTTGGGGCTGAAGGAAGAGTTTTAAATATACGGATGGCCGCATTAGAGTAAGGTAAGTACGTACATCACATGGGTCTGCAAAGGCTGTAACTAATATTTCCAGTTTTAGGTTGTTGGTATACAAGAGCCATACAAGGTGTCAAGTTTTCTCAAACTATTTCCTTTTTCTAATTTTGGGTTTCTACAATTCACAGTTCTGCATGAAATGAGCGCCGCCTTAAAACTAGGCTCATTTAGGTTTTTTGTTAGAGAGTCTTGCAAACATAGGAAATTTTTTGTTTTATTACAACTTGTATATTCCACTATTAGTGTATCATCATATATTACAACAATTTTTTCTTTTAATAATTGGGCAACCAGTACAAAAATGTGAGTAGAGGACGGTAATGTTTACACTAAAAATATTATTGAGCCTTGGTTTGGTCAAGGTGTTTTACAAGGAAATAGAACTTGGGCCTTTAATTTACTCTAATAATAAACAGTGCATGCCCAAATTGTTTTTACTTGTCAAAGATACCAAAGCACTTTTATGTATTTTTGGAGGGAAAATGATCATGGATTTAAACAAAACCACCGTCTTGGTTATGCCAATCACTACAAGAAAATATGGCTTAGGTGACGACAAACATTCATAACATAAACATAAAAATTCGTCACACTTGACTATATGTGACGAAACTCTAGCGTCATTGGCACTTGCATCACCTATAGTCCACTAGACGAATTTTACTTTCGCCACATATTTTTAGTATACGTGACGCCACTTTTGTCATTTAGTAACAATATGTGTGACGAATTATATGTCACAAAATACAAAATTTTGTGGCCTATTTTTTCATCTCGTATCAAATTTATATGTGATGATTTTGTTGTCACCCAATATGATCACAGATATTGATATGGTTTGCATTCAATGACGCTAAAAGCATCATATATTCCTTTGATATGTGGTGCAACTTATGTCACATACGTTTAAATCAAATACCTATTTAGAAATAATAGTGATGAATTAATTGTTTTTTCCTATTTCGTAATCTAGAATTGCCGCTCATAACCATTATAAGGTAATACTTTACATTTTCATTAATCAACAATTAAAGTACATAAGTCAAATACATTCACCAAATGTACATCCTAAAAATTAAAGTCATGGTGATGTATCTCAAAAGAGAAGTATCTCAAAAGAGAAGTCTAAAACAGCTTGAGGTGCTAAGAGCATCAGTGGAGTCCTTATATAGAGACAATCACAGTATAAAATAAGTATAAAACAAATATATGGACAAAATTAATCTCCAATTGATTGAAAGGTAAGTTCTCAAAGTATAGAAACTTACCGGATACATAGTGTATGTACCCACATATTGAGGAATTGCAATGATGGACCCAACTGAATAATTTAAGTGGAAAGGCTGGTCCATCAAACCGAATGCTGCTGTGCAGCATGAATTTCAATAGCTGATGACGCGCGGGTGCAATTGGAGTCGCCAACAACCCTTGAGCTGCCTCCAGCGGAAGCCTCTTGGTTTTTTTTTATTTATTTTTATTTTTATTTTTTTTTATAATTCGTTTCGACATTCAATGGTCCCTATTACTAGTGTTTTTTTTTCTTCAATATATTAGTATATTACAATATATGAAATATAATAATTACGAGGTTAACACATTACAGTATATGAATTCTAATTTTTTTTTTCATGTGTCCAACTATGTACCTAATTAATTTGCTAGGACATAATCTGATAATGAAGCAATTCTAATTAGTTTTCGTGAAGAAAAACATTTGGTGTCAGAATCAGATTTTTTTTAGTTAAAATATTCACAAAAATATTTTACAATATTATAACGTTAAATTAATTAAAAAAAAGTTAATATAAACAAAAAAATTGCACCTACTCAAATTATCACATAAAATTGTAAAAATCTCAAATTTTGAGATTCTACCATAAGAACTCTGTCATTGGAGGCAATATTCTTTTGTGGACACAATGATTCCCTTTTAAGTCCTTCTATGAGTACTCAAAAGTGATGGTTGAAGTCCCTAAATAAGGACTTAAATGGAATCATGTGTCTCTAAAGAAATATTGCCTCTAAGACCATCTCCAACCCTTGGGTTAAAAGCCAAATTTTTTAGCTTAGAAAATTTAGCTTTTAGCCCAGAAACATCTTTTCTGCTCCAACCCTTCTGGCCTAAAATTTTAGCCTAGGATTATTAAAGAATGAACTTAGGCTAATTTTTTTCTTAAATTAATTTTTTTAAAGATAAAATATGTAGACTATCGTAAATTAATTTTATGAACATTTTAATCAAAAAATATTTAAATTCCAATAAATATTGAAAAATCACTCAATTTTCCACAAAACAAGCCTTCAACTTTCACCAATCTTTCAACTTTCACCAACCATTCAACACCAAACTTTCAACTTTCACAAACTTTCTCACAACTTTCACCAAGCATAAAGCAACATCTTCTTCAAGGTCCAATTACGACCCTTAATATGCTCTCTTGCCATGTTGAACAATTTGGAAATGGAAAGAAATGGTATAAAGATAAATCGGAAGAATTGTACAAGAAAATTGAGTTTTGTGTGGATGTTTGAACAAATACATAGATATTTATAAAGTTTTTGGGTGAATTTTGAGTTAAATCATTTTTTTATATTATTTTAGCTGTTGGATTTTAATTTGGACCGTTAGATCTTTTATTTTACTGTTAGATTTGATTATATTCGATTTCAGCCGTTGGATTCAATAATATATAAATATAAAAAAAAAATTGAATCTAGGCTGTTGGATGGAAGGAGCCGTTAGGGCTCATGCGGAACGTGGCTGACAGGCCCACGTGGGTGGGTCCCTAACAGTCGGAAGCCTCGCGCTTTAGGCGCATTAGGCATCATCGTGGGCTGCGTTTGGCGCCCAAACGCTAAAAAGCAATCCCTTCGATGGGGCCCACACCAACTTTTGGGCTAAATTTTGGGCGGAATCTGGCCTCAGTTTCCCATTTAGCATTTAGCCCAAAGTTTTCCCTTGGGTTGGATTGAGTTTGGGGGGAAATTTAGGCAATAGCCCAGGGTTGGAGGTGGCCTAATGGTAGTCTTTATAATAAAATCCCTAAATTTGAAGTTTTTATGGTTTTATGTGATAATTTGATTAGGTGCACATTTTTTTTTATTTATGTTAACCTTTTTTTTAATTAATTAAAAGCTTTAAAAACATTGAAGTCTTCAATCAAGATTGTGGACCTCGTTTTCCACCAAGGGTGCACATTTTTTTGTTTATGTTAACCATTTTTTAATTAATTAAAAATAATAAAATTAAAAGCATTAAAAACTTGAATTAGGATTGTGGACCATGTTTTCCACTCAAAGTTGTTCGATATACAGTCCTTATATGAGATGACATACACTGTGTATCTGATGAGTCACTATACTTTAGGAACTCACTTTCCAATCCATTGGAGATTCATTTTGTCCCTATATTTGTTTTATACCATTTTATACGACAATTGTCCCGATTTAGGGACTCCACTGAAGATGCTCTAACAAAAGACAGCTTGAGGTACCAACAAAAGACAAGTCTAACCCAGAATAATGAAGGGCACTAACACCTATATATAGACAGCTTTGGTATTAACAAAAGAGAAGCCCAAGGCACATTTAGGTGCTAACAAAAGAAGTGTACCATGTGCATACTTGAAACTAACCGTAAAAGACATAATATCAACATCAGTACTCTTCCAAATCATGTTCTTCTAGCTTAGGATAAGTATTTTCACCCTCTGAAAATATCACCATCAGATTCTGTATAGTTGTTGGTCCTCCCTTGACTTGCAGCAAAAAACACATTGAGTTTTGTGAACATACTTTCATCATCATTATGTAAACCCAATAGAGCTCTCGGTTATTCATTCTCATGTTGCAATTTGAGGAAACCATCTAACAAAAGCTTGATCTGATATCTCATATCATTTAACTTGAAACTTAAAGTTATAGAAGAATGCAACCAGAGGTATCCATACGAGGAAAAACACCTACACCATTAACAAATTTTCCCTTCCTTCCAAGGTTTTCAACCATGATTCCAAACTCTTCATCCAATGACACATGTATGGAGTCTGGTGGAGTACTCCTTGGATGAACTTCTCTCTCACTTCATCCTTATTTTTCTTCATGTTTTCCTTTCAAAATAAAATAGAAACAATTTAGTTTTTTTCATTCCAAACATATCAACTATAATATGCTTAAGAAAACACAACTTGAGTACTTGTATGTTGTCCTTAACTGATGCAGAAGCAAATCTCATGCATAACCTGTATGTAAACATGATTTGTAGTTTCTATTTTAATATGAATTAAATTGGACTAGGCACATATAAATTTTTTCTCAACAAGTAACAAGAAGCAGAATTAGCATAAAGATATATTGGTGGGATAAGCAAAATCAAGAGAAGACAAAATTAATTCAGAACCAAATATACATACCAATGCAATGAGACAAGTAGTAGATAATCGAGACAATACATTCATGGGCATTTGTACACATCACAAGCTAATGGGGAGAAAGATTCTAATAAGACCAACTCGTACCTCTATCCCTGATTCCCTCATAACCAAAACTCCATATAATGTGAACCCAATGTAATGTTGAATACCTAGTGGGAAAATCTATGAGCTTTTTCTTGTGTCCCATTAATGAATTTACTCGAAAAGAATTTTGATATGGCTGAGTTCCGTCACTATAGTTATAAAACTTCATTTCCCTTCTTCCTCTCGACTTACTAAATCTACTAAAGGTCGTACCCAGTGCACAAGGCTCCCGCTTTACGCAGGGTTTGGGAGAGGTGAATGTCGGCTAGCCTTACCCCTATTTATGGAGAGGCTGCTCCCAAGTCTCGAACCCGAGACCTACCGCTCATGGGCGAAGGCACTTGCCATCGCACCAAGTGCGACCTCTGACTTACTAAATCTACTAACTGATCAAAATCACGAAATGTTAAACAAAGAACGTAATTTGATTCAATCACCAAAATAAACATCAAGATCCATAAAACATACCAAACACATCCCAACTAACATCCCATATCTAAAACAAGGATTTTCTAGCATAAACCGAACCATGCTATTACCGAGAGCCTTGGCCATGCACATCCAATGCTCCATTACTTTGGTGCATACCATACACTGGAGCCTATTAATATTTTCGTTAAACAAAACAAATGTTATTTCAAGAGCTAAACAATTTGTGTGTATTTACATTAATATACAAACCCCATATGCAAAATGTACAACCTTCATAAGCACACAGAGCTCTGGAAACAAAAAACAAGTTCTCTCTTTTCTAGATTGAAACGTACACCTAGATAAAGCGCAAGGTACAAATAGTTTAAGAGCTAAGGTCACTGACAATACTCATAGAGATTACTAGGAGTGCACAGAGAGGACTCCCTTCTGACTCCAAATTGTAAACCCGAATTTAGAAATACATATCAACATCATCCTAAAATTTAATTAAACATAAAAAATGAAAACATCTTCCACCCCAATAACACGAGTGAGATTTCTACAACTGGGTTTCTTCGTATCTTGAAAACCCAATACAAAAAATAAGAAAAGTTTCAAAATTTTCACGATTAAGACTAATTTTCAAGAGAGAAATAAAGAAAAATTCAGTAGTTTCAAGAGAGAGATATTTGAGTACCTTTGGAGAAGAAATTAGGAGAAAGGGTAGCTGATAAACTAATTCATCGTAAATAAAACAGAGTAAAGTATGAGAGCAAGTAGTAGAGATATGAGAAAGACGAAAGAACAATGGTACTTGCGGCCACCAATAATAAGTCGGCTAAGAGATTAAGTAGGGTGGGCGTAGATGTTGGTTTGGGGCTTTTGAATTTTAATTATTTTAATTATTTTTTTAAAAAAATTTCTCTACCTTTAGTACAAAAATGTTTTGCATTGTCTTTCTTCACATTCCCACGTGGCCTTATCTTAGATTATGTGAAGAATGTAATATTTTTGTCACCCAATAGAAATTATTGGGCGGTACAATTTGCCACTTAAAAATTTGTGAGGAATCTAAGATTTTTATGTGATGAACAACATTCCAAAAACAATTTGTATCCCGTGCTAGTTTGTATGTGATACCTTTTTTTTTTTTTTTAATTCCTCACTTATTATACTAAAATATGATGAATTTATGGGCGTAAAAAAATGTTGTCACCTAACCCATGTTTTCTTGTAGTGAATCCTCATTCACGACCCATATATTTTGAATTACTTTTCTATTGGTGCATTACTTTCTGGAAAGTAATCCTAGGTAGGCTTCAAATGAAAACATAGGAAACATTGATGGAAGAGGTGAAAGGTTTATAAATACAAGTGAATGGCTTAGACTAAAGGACACTCAAATCATTCAACAAAAATACTACAAGCTTTCAAACCAAAAGCTTTCTGCCTTTTACTTATTTCATTCATTTTGCCTTACCAAAAGATCACTTTGGGGTTTTTCAATTTAGAGAATTTGAAAAAAAAAACACCACACTACTTTACCATTGCCACTGCACCTATTGGATGAGAAAGACCTAGCAGTTCATCGTCTTCCTACTTCAACAATCGAAGATTCATTCGTATGGATACTAGTAGAGGGCTAACATTTGGGAGTCTCAACAATGAATTCATCTTCATATGAAATCTAAGGTTGGAATTTTTAACTTAATTTAAATTTATGACATGTTCTTAAAATTGTTTTACATGAACACAAGCACGTGGACTAACCTAGATCACGAATTAATTTAATAAGATTAAACGGAATCCAAAGTTCTGCCAATCATGCGTGTAAATTGAATTATATCATGCTTACGTCACCTTGCCACACTTCGCACAAGTGTACTAAAGTACTTGAACCATGCTGTATAATGCCATATCATTCTAATGATGCATGATGTGGAAATTCGGATAAGAATCTCCACGAAAGTACTTGAACTTGGGTTATGTAAGATTTTCCGGATGAAGTGCACACTCAATACTCAAAGAAAGAGAGCTCCTAACCTTGGCGACGATCTTGCTAGGAATATGAGGTTGAACTTCCCTCGATGCATCCCAAAGTTTGTCACAATTTAGGGGCTAACAACGTTCTTGTTCTTATGAGGATTCAAGGTCATCAAAGTTTAGATGATGGGGCTCCATTCGAGGAACTTATGCAATGTCCAAGGGATTGGAGTCTCGTTAGACTCGGATCCCGCCTGTAGAGGTATTATTGATAGTCTGACTATTATGCGGGGCACTCGTTCTCGGATTAGCAACTTCTGTTGGGGTTGGAGTAGAGTTGACACGATGGAATTACCGTTTTGGGGTTATAATACTTATATTCCTATAGGTGAAGACAAGAATATGAGTTTGTAGAGTAGTCATATTGAAGTTTTCCAGAGTTTTTATCCTTTTTTAGATGTCCATGAAGTTTGCCCTCTGCTCGAGAAGTTGTGTAGGTATTCTGCAATTTGTCGACATAGTCGTGTAAGAATCTGCATAGCCTTTATAATATACTTAGCCAAGAACACAAGAATTTAGCAACTAAATCACAACCAACGCATCAAATATGTTCTACATATGCAAATACTGAAGTAATATCTGCAACACATACCTGCCTGCAGACTGCTTACGAAGTCTTTCCCATGTGTGCTGTCAGAAGACAGCAGATGGTGCTGCTGCATGTGTGGCGTGCTGTCACTTGTATTTTGAATTGTAAAGTTGTATGTTGCAGTGTATATAACAAAACCTTCCCGTAAGGCCTAAGATATGAAATTGATTTGAAATGCTGCTGTGTTTCTTAGTTTAACACATACATGGATGAAGAATCCATGGATGAATCCACACACAACCTTCTCCTCTCTGCAAAACTCAATGCTCTCCAAGTTATAGGTAATTGGAACAATAAGAGCGTATTTTTGTGAGAGCAGGGGCTTGTGGTTTTTATACTACAAAAACTGGATTATCCTATAATAATCCTACAAGGAATACAAGATCAAATCCTTGTACAAGTATGAGTTCTATTTTCGAGCCAACAATAGAGTTTCAATCCAAACCAAAGTTGAATTAACTCTTATAAACACATTAAGACATCTTTTTATACTACAAAAACTGGATTATCCTATAATAATCCTACAAGGAATACAAGATCAAATCCTTGTACAAGTATGAGTTCTATTTTCGAGCCAACAATAGAGTTTCAATCCAAACCAAAGTTGAATTAACTCTTATAAACACATTAAGACATCTTTATACCAATCTGAAATAACAATGATTATTACTAAACTGTGAGAATCACACTCATACTCTAACAAGTCGTTGATCTTCAGTAAGGTCTTCCAAATCTAGTCTATGGTGAGAAATAAATTGTTCACGATGTGAGTGATGGAAGCCTCGGGGAATGAATTGTTTCCTATCATTGTGTTAATGTTAGCGTTAACTGAAATTCCTTCTACAGACATGGTTGTAGTAAAGTGATTTGGTTGGGTGGAATATGAGTTTACTCTCAATGAAAACACCAACTGTTAAAACCAAATTTCCACACCGTTGAGAAGGGTGGAGATGCACAAAATTGTTAACTTGTAAAATAACAAAAAACTATAAGCAGCTAAGAACCAGGGGTGGTGCGGGCCAAATGCTCTTTGAGGGTCAAGTTAGTAAGAAATATTATGAGACTCAAGTAGGAGGCAAGAGAATAAGTGTGCGATAATTACGTTACCAGAAACAAACCCTAGAAAAGTGTATTTATACTAGTCAAGACAAAGTTTTTTTAGGATATGGAATTCGTATTAAATTAAGAGAATCTCATAATATATCTAGGAGTAGATATTGTATCCTTTTAGGAGTTGGATTACTTATGGCGCACGCCAACCCTATATTGTAGGAACTCTAACAATATAGGAAACCTGGTTAATTCTTTTATGGATCAGGTTTTTGTTTCTTGCGAAACAATCATGGTTAATCTCAGCAAAATCATCAGACTTATCACGCTACTCCAGAACCATATGATGGTGACATCGCTAATCCGTTTGTGCAACTCTGCTGCGGAAGCTGCTAAGTCTATGAACATACTTATGAGGTACTTGTATTCTGATCCGACCTACTTTGACCATGAAAATCATGGTCCAACAATACACATCATGCTTAATCTTAGTTGACATGTGAATGAGTGTAGAAACTGCTATGCATACATCTTGCCACATGATTTCTTTGATTTTTTTTGTTTACTTGTTCTTAATGGATTCTTACTAGATCAGGTTTCAATATCTTGTGAAACAAACGTGGTCAATTTTAGCAAAGTCGTCAGACTTCGCGTACCGCTTCGAAATATGATGATGGTGGTAATGCTGCTCCGTTTGTGTACTCCGCTAAGGACAACTGGACTTCTGAGGTACTTGTGTTCCAATTTGCCTTACTCTAGTCCTGGAAAATTATGGCCTCACACTTGCATTTTTAATTATTTTAGTTTTCAGTTGCAAAACAAAATTTAATTTGTTATTTCATTGTTTGGTTAGGGTTCACATAAAGCTAATCAGTGCCTGTAGTTCGACATTCTTATTTGTGCCATTTTACTATCCTTATATATGCACTTGGAAGCAATAGAACATAAATGAAACAGGTTCTAAAAAATGAATAAAATGATTGGGAAGAGACAAAGGGATTAGGGAATCAAGTTGGTGTGGCGGTTGTTAGTGAATGAGATGACTTGGAGGTTGGCGAGCTGGATGAGCTAGAAAAGAATCGGACTGGTGATGATTTTAGGGAAGAGAATGAGCTGAATCAACTCTATGAGGTTGGCAATGAAGGGCAGGAGTAAGAGGCCGGTGCAGAGGTTAATGGTGGTGACGTGGCTGGAGGAGTGCTAAATAAGGTGGGGCTAAGGTCGGGGGCGGATAGGTCCCAAGCAGAGAAGAATGTGGTGGGAGAACCAAGTTCATGTCCATGAATTGGGTTTGTTTCTTTCCCTTTTTTTTCTCAGTGTGAACAAAGTGGTTCTCCAGGTCGCGCAAAAACAAGCCCAAGTGCAGCAATTTTTATGAAGCTGCAGTTAGCGATAGTCGAAGAAGAGGGGGAAGAGAAAAATGATACTTTTCTTTCTATTTTTTAATCTATTTTTTATTAAATAATTATTTCTTAATGTTCATTGCCCATGGCATAAATTTGGTGGGCCATAAGTCTGCCACATCATCAATTAATATAACATTTTAAGGATTGACTAACAAAAAAATGTTAGAAAACAGAACTTTAGGTATGAAAGTGAGCCGAATAAAAGTAAAAATAATAAAGTATGATTTATTTCAAACTTGAAGATAGTAAAATAAAAGTAACCTACTTTAAAACAAAAAATTTTTATATTCACATTCATATAATTTTTATAAGGTAGTGCTATTTGCATTTTCTTTTACTTCTCACTATACCCTTTTTAATTTTCGACCGATCACATGAACTAAAAATGATCAATAACAAAATATTAATAAGGGTGTTTGAGAAGTAAAATATGTGTGTGAATATAACTATCCTTTAACCACAACAAGTGGCCTAGTGGTAAGGAAGCGAACTGCGGCTTCCCAATAAACAAAAAAAATATGGGAGGTCCCGGGTTTGATGCTCCGAACTAGTGAGTCTGCTTGACCCTTGACATAGGATGAAATTCTCTATAGCCTATTCGGAAAAAAAAAAAGAGAGATAACCGTGACTTGCCACTAGTTCTAGTTGTCCCCCTTTAAAAAAAAAAAAAAAAAAAACTATCATTTTTACAATGGCGGTTGAGCACAGGAGCAGTGTTTCGATCATACCCTATGAATTGACAATTATGCCCACGCTAGTCTGTACTTCTTCGGATTCTGGGTTGGCTCGCTCGCTCACTACTTGCCTGAAAGCTCCAAAAACCAGAAACTGTCCTCCTCGGTCGGGACTCGGGAATTGAAAATCGCACCTCCTGGAGAATATTTTCCGGCGTCCTTCCGAAACGATGCCGGCCGGCGATTGAGAAGACCGCTACGCTCCGCACCGTACAAGTTAGTTTTTCTTTCTTTTTCGTCATCGATACATACATGTTGGATTGAAAATTGATGATCCTGATCCTGTACCTGTTGCTGTATGCACCAAAACCTAAAAAGGAGAAGAATTTGATGCATACAGGAGTGTGATTTTCTTGTGCTCTGTGTGTGTATGTGTTATACCAAAACATAAACATAAAATTGAAGTTCCGATTCTGATTTTGATTTGTCGACTTGAAGGAAGGATCGCAATGGATTTGTCATTGGTTGATAAAGAACCTGCGGCGGCTGCTGTTCTGCAGCTACAGAGATGGGGCCCTTCTCTTGCCCACCTAAACCTTTCCGAATTTCGCCAAGCTTTTATTTCTCCAACGAGACAGCTATTGTTACTGCTTTCTTACCACTCCGAAGCCTTGTTTATTCCTCTACTTAGCGGTGATTCCTATTACCTTTACTGTGTTGCTAGTTCCCAGTTCTGTTACCGGGTTTAATTTCTCTTATTGTAATTTACTGCAGGGGACTCTACAACTGGTAGTAGTAATCTGGAGACTGGCTCTGGTTTCTGCTCACAAACATTGACACCCCCTGGCAAGTCAGATTCAATAGGGGATGATTCAGTTCTAGATTTTGATAATGATTTCACCTTTGATAGGGAAATTGCAAGATCCGAAAACTACCCTTTTGTTGGTGATGTTAACTCTTTGGCTTGGGGTATCTGTGAGGATAATTATGATCAGAACAAGGATGCTTTATTTAGTGAAATTTTGTTTGTATCTGGCAAGCAAGGTCTGGTGGTACATGCTTTTGTTGAATCCACCCGAAACACTGATGTTGACAGGAATGCACTGCATGGTGAGTATGTCCAGGGGAGGTGGGTGGAATGGGGGCCTTCTGCCTCCTTAGTTGAAAATATGGTGGTGGAGGAAGCTACCAGCTTGAGTGTTAATGCCACTGGAAATATTGATTTAAACAGAGCCAATGGAGACAGTGAAAGTCCCCATAACAAATGTAATGTGCCTGGGAACGACAAGTTGCCAGAAGGCATTGCTTCTAAGAAATGGTTGCAATCTTTTCTGACAAAAGTTGAAACTGTTGAATACAATGGTAACATATTGACCAAGTTCCCAGAAAAGTCATTGTTTCCTTGCTCTGCAAAAGTCGTTTCATTTGGTTTGTTTAATAGTAATTTACCATTTCTGGACTTCCCTTCTAACAGTGATTCAGTGTCAAATGAGTGCACCCTGGAAACAGTTCACGAGTCAGAGAGTGATAACTCTATAAATACACATTTGACTTCATCTGGTCCGCATTTCAAATCTGAAATTTTGTCTAATATTTTTGGTTTTGGAATGAACTGTTTATACAAGTGCTCCAGAGTGTTTTCAAGCAATTCACATTGCTTTATTGGATTTGTTTTCACACAGGTTGATCCTGTAACTTTGAATACTAGTGATGAAAGTGAAAATACTAAGAAAAATAATGTACTTCTAGTTGCTAGATTAGATAGGCGGGGAATTCAGTGTGTTTCCTCAGTGAAGCTTGACGAGTGTCCAAATATTGGCTCAGTGGTACAATGGACAGACTTCCAGTTTTCTGATAGCCTTCTTATTTGTCTAAATGCATCCGGCTTAGTTGTTTTCTATGGAGTAATGTCCGGTGAGTATGTTGCACATTTAGGTATTTCACAGACTTTAGGACTCAACCCTCAGTTGGATTTTCATAAGCAAGGAGCATTGTCTCTAGGTTCTGAGCAACACAGTACTGAATTTGATGGAGTTGATTACAAAAGAGTTTTGCAACATGGTGATTCTTCTGATAGGAGAATGTTCAAAAGGTTGATTGCTGCTTCACATACCTCCCTAATAGCTGTTGTTGATGATTATGGTGTAATATATGTGATTTCAGCTGGTGACTATATACCGGGCATGTATTATGAAAATGAGAAATTACTTCCACATATTCAGCAGCAAGGGCTAGGCATGTTGGGTGGTTGGGAGGTTGGTGGTTGTGATATAGGTCACCAAAGGGTATATTCTAACATATCTGGTTCACAGAATTCTATTATTCAATCCATGACAAATGACAGATCTTCTTTCCTGGATGATTGTGGAAGTAATGTGCTTAGAAACCAAGAGTTGGACGGTAAGCGAGAAGGGAAGGGATCCAGCTCATTTTTGGGTAGATTTTCTGCTTCAAAATTAACAGATCAGAAGCCTTACTACTCTGAAAAGAAGCCACACTTGATGCGCAAGATCTTTCTTCCCCCACAAAAGTTTAGGGAATATGATCCCATCTGTTTCTCTCCATTAGGAATTACTCGGCTTGTTAAGAACAGGAATATGATGAACCCGAAGGGTTCTCACATTGTTCATCTCAATCTGCATGCTGAGTTCGTAGTTTGTGATGACAACTTTTTGAATACACGGTGTGAAATGTTTTATCTCCAAGGGAGGGAAGAAGCCTTTGTTGGAGAGGCAGTGGGCTGCACTTTCCAGGGATGTTTTTATTTGGTAACAGAAAGTGGTCTTTCAGTAGTGCTTCCTTCTGTATCAGTCTCATCAAATTTTCTTCCTCTTGAAGTTATTGGGTGCGGGCAGTTGACCAATTCAGGCACCGGAGATCAAGTTAAAAGCACAAGGGAAATGAAAGAATCTCAACAGCCTTGGTCACCCTGGAATGTTGAAATTTTGGACAGAGTCCATCTCTATGAAAGTGCTGAAGAGGCAGATCGCTTGTGTTTGGAAAACGGTAAGGATTTAGTTCTCTGCATAACTCTTTAGCTTTTCCTTATATAGCTTATACCACATATGAATCTTTGTAGGAGAAAGCCTATCTTTTAACCTCATATCCTTTATGATTTGGTGTCCATACTACTGTGCCGGATTTGCATTCATGTTATACTTATAATTGTTTCATGGTCAGCCGACAAATGGTTAATTGACCACTAATGCATTATATTTTAAATTACCATGCTTCTTCTCTCTATCAAGGTCGAACTATTCGCATATGTAGAGAATGTACTCTCAGTGGTTTGATAACTATGCAAAGAGGGAATAAAGAATTTTTTATCATTTTTTTGGGAGGTTAATAAATCAAACAAACAATAATGAACCACAACTCTAGCTTGCTATATCAAGGCTAAGGAAACAAATTAGAACCTGCCTCTAGTTTTTTTCTAGATTAATAATTAAAAAAGTAAATTAATTGCTGCATATTAGAAAATAAAAATGTCTCATATTGTGAGGACATTTCTGTATACATGCTACATGTGTGTGACATACGTGTATACTAGATGTTAATTCTCCATGGTATGAAAAAAAAAAATCTCTTTAACCATTTTTTATCATCCTTCTGATATTCCTTCCCTAAAAATAGGTTTGTCTTGAAACTTTCCAATCTTTTGCCTTCCTAGGCCATCTACCAACCTCACACCGCAAGACCATGTATAAATCCTCTACTTTTCCTTTTGTATTATCCCCTCATTTGACCATTTACATTTATTTATCATCACCGACACAGTACTTAAATCTTCTAGCATTAACAACTAAATTGATCCCTCCTAGAAAGGAAAAGGAGTTGTGCCACAAACTGCAAATGTGAGATATCCACTTCTTCCCTTTCAACTACCAAACCCCATATCAAATACAACTCCTTGACCAACCTACTTAATGGAGTGTTTCATGGTGTTAACTTCTTATGTCTTTAATTAGCAGTACGTTAGCAGCTATTATAGATGCATTTTAATATGGCGTTGCAAAACCAAGTTGTAACTTGTAAATTTGTAATTATAGAAAGACCAAAATACAAGTAAGGTCACGTGACCAACTTTTTTTCTTTTGGTTTCTTATTTGTTTCTTATAGAAATATATCGGATATGGGAAATTTCATAGAGTTTCTGCATCTCAAGGCATGTTGAAATAAATTCTGAGCAATCAATGCCATGTCAGGATGGAACCTGAAAATATCTCGGATGCATCGACTTCAGTTGGCATTGGACTACTTGAAATTTGATGAGATAGAACGGTGTGATTCTCTACTTTTAGATTCTGCATTGTTGTTGCTTCCTATGGAAAATGATCTTCTGCATTGTGATTCTTGCTTGTGTATTTTGGATCATGCTATTTGAATATGTTTTTCTGTACATTTCTGCATTACATATGCTGAAGGTAGGGCATTAGAAGGTTCTGAAACAGGTAGGTCTTGTAGGATAATATGTAAAAACTTGTTTTCTATTATCACAAATTAGGTAGCCACATGATTTATAAACTGGCAAAACTGCATTCTTTTCAAGGTCATTTACACTCTGTACCCTTGTAGTTTGAATGAAATTTCACTCTGGTGCATGATAATTCAATTTGATATATTTATACCAAGGGATTGCACAATGTAGCAATGTTGATTTCTCAATTTCTACCTCAAGTCAAACAAATTGGGTATAACATGACAACCATTTGAACCAATATATGGTGTAATCAAAGGACTCAAAATTATGTTCTTTGTACAACTTAATACGCAGCAACTTCACAGCTGGTAACAACAAAGGGGATACCAAAAGGGTGGGCAATATCCCCTGTCATGTGTGATCGTGGAGGTGTTGCAGCTGTTGTGTTTGGTGAAACATATTTTTATTCCTTTTTTCACCTTTTAATTGTTTGACGTGGGTGACTTGCCTTTACTAATCTGTTTGACAGAACGTACAAATTAATAGGAGGATTAACATTACTAGGATGTGCAAACTAAGACCCTTTAGAGGGGAAACAGTAAGATTACGCCCCTTTACACTTGATGTAGCAAAGAAAATTGCTTTAACAAGTTCTGGTAATCTCGTAGCTGACAACTGAACTGATAACCAATCTTGCTTCAACAACTCTTTTTCACCATCTGCTTCTTTTTGTGACAAAAATCAGAATGAATGCTTCTCTCATTCCTTTATCATGAATATTTAATCATTCATTTTGGTGTTGGACAGATCATTAGAAATGCTTGTTGGTGTCAATTTGGCAGAAGAAGGAGTATTAAGGTTACTCTTTGGTGCTGTGTATCTGATGCTTCATAAAGTTGGCAATGATAATGAGGTTTCTGCTGCATCAAGGTAGGTTCAGTTACCATTTTGCATTGGTGGATGTTCTGAGTAAGTACTATTTTTGTTCCGTTTCTTACTCAAGTAACGAAATGACACATTAGCTGTTCAAATAGACCTTAAGGGTAATGTTTTTCGTAGTGACTAATCTTATTTCCATGTATTTGTTCAATACTGCTAATCAAATTGAAGTGTTGTGGACACATGATGTTTTATATCCAAGAATTGTTCATGGTTTTGATTCTTTGTGCACCTTTTGCCTGGCTTGCCTTTTCTTTTTGGTATATGATATGATTGGAATGACCATACATGTCTCATATATATTTTTACAATGGTCTTTACACTTAAGCTTGTGGAACTTATTTTGTTCATTCTTGTATTTCAGGCTTCTTGCGTTGGCAACTTGCTTTGCAACCAAAATGATTCGTAAGTATTGGTTGGTTGAACATAAGAAAGATGCATATGAATATGATAGGACCCAGATGCTTTCACTTCTGCCAGTTTTACCAGAAAAGGTACAAGATGAAGTGGAAAATTCAAGAAGACTTCGTGAGATGGCTCAATTTTTGGAGATAATACGAAACCTGCAATCTCGACTTGGTTCAAAATATAAGAGACCGGACAGAGAATTGGTAAGTCATCTCTTTCCTCTCCAGATTTTTAGTTGGAACCACATTTGTGTTTCAATATATGTAGGGTAATGTTCTTTCCAAATGTCCAGCATGTTATGTTGCCAGTGAGTTCAGGCCAATTTGACCAAATAATAAAAGAAGAAAACTCTAAATTCTGAAGCTACTGATGCCCACAAGGAAGCCCCAAAAGCGCACCTTTCCCATAAGCACTACCTTCCTTTTCTTTCCACCAAAAAACTTAACCTTCTCAGGGAGATGGGTATCGCTTGGGTATCGCAAAGAATTGTTAACTTCTTTTCAGTGAGTCCCATTCTCCGTCATGGATGGGGAGGAAAACCCAGGGTTTTGTTCGGCTGTATATTTCGCAGTGTGTTGGGTTTTTTGGATGGAGGGAAATCAAAGGATCTTTGAGGATTATGGTGTTACATGCGGAGATATGGGATAAAGTTAAGTTTCTATCAGCCCTAAGGACCACAGTTTCTAATGAGTTCTCTGGAATATCGCTTTCCTTGCTCTGCTTAGATTGGAAGGCAGCTCGTCCCTACTCTGACTGTGTTTTTGTTTTAGGCTGCTTGTTTTTTCTTAGTTGTTTTTTTTTGTTGCTTGTTGTGGTTGCGGTGTTTGGGCTGGTCTGCTGGACCACCCTCTTCGTTTGCCTTTTCTGCCCTTATTAAATTGTCTCTTTATAAAAAATGAATGGACCAATATAACCCTCCTCCAAATGAATGGACCAATATAACCCTCCTAAATTAACTGATCCCACAAGAAAAGCCACTGGACAACAACAACAAATGATCCAAACTTTCTGCAGCCTTTCTACACATAATACGCCCATGGGGAGAAAGAGAAACAAAGGGTTACCTAAATTGCAACAAAGCATAGGTATTTAACTATCCATGAGACATTATCCAAGCTGACACACATACTTTTAAAGGAACTTTAGCTTTTCAAATCACAATGAGGGAGCAAAGAGAGCCGGGTAATCCATTAGGTGTTTTGATAGAGACTTACATGAAAATGAAGAGGGGTATAGATCTGGGAGGTTGATATCAGATCTTTTGGTTATCATGGAAAGAATGGGATAGGAGTTTTCATTTTGTGGTGTGGAGCTGGATCGTTTATGAGCTAGGGTCCCTTTTGGTCTTCTCTGTGGTCATCTACTGCATCGTAGTTGTGGGAGTTGTCTTTTTTCCTGTTATTCCCTTCAAATTGGAGTGCAGCTGTTCTGTAATTTGTAGGCTTCTCTATAGTCAAGTTGTTTTTCATTAGTTTAGGCTGGTACTTGTAGCTGATATTAGCTTTTGCATTTGAGGTCCACTTTGTTTTACCTTTCTTACGCATAAATGTTTCTTTATCCTATAACCTATTAGGAAAAAAAAATCATATTTTCCTTACTGCAATTAATGTAAGTAATATATTATTACAGGTGGACAGTGGGGAAACATCGGCACTACTAGACAATGATTTATCACAGGATGAATCTCAGTTGATAGTTGTTTCTGTAGACCCCGTATCTTTGGAGACATCAGAACAACAAGACTTTCCTGTATCTACATCTGCCTTTAACTATTCTGAGAATCTTGCATTGACACCTGTGGATCCTGCAGTGCATTTGGACCCGGAGGATTTGAGTGAAGTATCTCTTGTGCCACGAGGGGGGTTCTTAGAGAAGAAAATTCTTCCCTTGGAAAACCCCAAAGAGATGATAGCACGCTGGAAAATAGATAATTTAGACCTCAAGGCAGTAGTCAATGATGCTTTACTCACTGGTCGTCTCCCCTTAGCAGTTCTTCAACTCCATCTTCATCGTTCAAGAGATTCAGTTCCTGGAAAAGAGCCTCATGATACTTTCACTGAAGTCCGTGATATTGGAAGAGCTATTGCTTATGACCTCTTTTTGAAGGTAGCTTACTGATGCTTAGCTATATGAAGATATTGTCTTTTATGTTTCAGCAATAATATACTTGACGACCTGCAGGGTGAATCTGGACTTGCTGTGGCCACATTGCAAAGGCTTGGAGAGGATGTAGAAGCTAGCCTCAAGCAGTTATTATTTGGCACAGTTAGAAGATATTTACGAGTGCAAATCACTGAAGAGATGAATAGATATGGCTACTTGGGCCCATATGAGTGGAAGATATTGGATAGGATATCCCTCATTGAGGTACATAGACTTGTACTACATGTCTTTCTTACCTTACAAACATATCTGGTATGATTTCAAGTACCAACCAGATGATTCCCTTTGCAGTTTATAAACTTACCTTATCATTGTTTATTTAAACTTTTGTGGTGTAGAGACTTTACCCTAGCAGTAGTTTCTGGAAAACACTTCACGGACGGCAGAAAGAATTCATTAGAATTCCAGCAAGTTCAAGTTTGCCTAAGAGATATTATTTGCGCCTGTTGCATTCACATGCATTCAACAATTCTACCATTGAGTGCGATGACATTGATGGAGTTGTTTTTGGTTCATGGGCAAATGTCAATGAAAATCCTTATGTTCGTATGGTTGATGAAGATAGTGCTTATGCTGGATACTGGGCTTGTGCGGCTGTATGGTTTAGTTTCTATGACCAAAGAACCATTGAACGGGTAAGTCACTCTTCCTATTTCTGTGTCCATATACATATAGTCAGATATAGGTACTTCAAATTGGTCTTTGTAAAGGTTCTACATGTGCTGAAACTCAAGTGTAATATCCAATCCATCGAATTTGTGGTTGGAATTTAAGCTTCTTTGGAACATGATGGTTGAAAAAGTTTCCAAATGAGCTTAACTATATATTACATATGATTTATATAGAATATCAACTATGTCCACTTTAGAAATCCCTGAATCTTTAAGGTCTTTTCTTGTGTTCCTGTGTGTTTCTTGACAATTCTTCTATTTTCCATGATTGGAAAAACCCTGATTGATTAAACTTTATAAGCTTATAAATTTATTTTAATACAGATAGTCTTGGATCAGCCATCTTTTATGGGTGTGCATGTGTTGTGGGAATCACAGCTTGAGTACCATGTATGCCACAGCGACTGGGAGCAAGTCTCTAGACTCCTGGACCTTATTCCACCACAATTTTTAGCAGTTGGAAGCCTCCAAGTCAGCTTGGATGGGTTACAGCCTGTTTCAAATGTTGGATGCAGTAGGCGATCTGATTATGGTGCTTACCTGTGCTCTATTGAAGAATTGGATGCTGTCTGCATGGATGTTCCAGAAATCAAAGTTTTCAGGTTTTCATGTAATAACATGTGCTCCATATGGTTAAGGATGCTGATGCAAGAGAAACTTGCGAGAAACTTTATTTTCTTAAAGGAATATTGGGAAGGCACTGCTGATATATTACTTCTGCTTGCCCGTTCTGGCTTCATTACTAGCAAGTGTGAAGTGCCTTCCAAGGATGATAAGATTGAGAGTTTATCAGTCCCTCAATTTCCACATGAATGTGGAAAATTTCATGTCGGGACCTTGCAAGCCTTGCATAAGCTACTCATACATCATTGTGCGCAGTATAACTTGCCATACCTTCTGGACCTTTACCTGGACCAGCATGAGTTGTTACAAGATAATAATTCACTTGCATCATTACAGGAAGCTGCGGTAAGTTTAAAGATATGCAGTGAGCTTCTCAAAGCTGGTCTACTCTAACAGAATTTCCTTTTATCTACTCTATTGGCTGTTATTTTGTTTATGCTATTACATTGGTTATGTCTACCTCTGACTGCACTTTGTATCACTTTAGGCTATATTTGGGAGAGGGATTTCCAAATCACTAGGATATGTTAGAGGAGATTAGAAATGAACTTCATGAGCATTATAAAGACATGTATGAGAGATTATAAATGACTCCTTCCAAGTAGTTATTTGCAAAACCCTCTCACATGCCCTTATAATTTTCTAATGCATTCTATCTTACATTTTGTTGTCCATGCCTTACTAATTTGGCTTCAATCCCTTGGGACTTTGAAGGTCCCCCACCCATAGATAGCTTAGTGATAAAATGCAATTTGTTTCATTTTTTGGTCCCTAACATTTACAGTTAGATGTTTAGTGATAAAATGCAATTAACTTTTTTCTATTTATAAATAGAAGGAATTGTAACCCCATGGTGCCCATTAGAGGAGTAATATGGTGCATCTTAAGAGTTTACTACTATATGATGTTTCTCTAGTATTGTTGACAAGACCTATTACATCAATAAAGCCTAGATTTTAGAAATTATTGCTCCATTACAGCATTAAATACGTAACTAGATGCATTTGCAGCAGTTTGGTTAACGTCTGTATGGAAGCCCAGGACTAAGCTTGCTGGCTGAAGTCCAACAGCGAGGCTTTTTTGGTGGAAAGAGGACTGCCATTGTAAAATGTCAAAAAGTCAATCCAAGAGTATATGTCAAGAGTTATTAGTAGTCAATGTATTTGGTCTAATGAAAACTCAATCTCATTGAAGTTTTCTAAGAGTTTACTACTATATGATGTGTCTCTAGTATTTTTTGTATTATAATTTATAAATGAGTCTTTTACCTATTCTTAGGAGTCTTAAGTAGTTCCATTTGAAACCTATGAAGAAAGTAAATTCTGGATTAATGAAACCAAGTGTTAACCTATGAAGAAAGTAAATTCTGGATTAATGAAACCAAGTGTTTCTATAAAGGGGTGTGCCCTGATATCTCACTTTATACTTTAGCGTCTCTTATATTGTTCTCTATCTAGCTAATTGCTTGAGAGATCTTGCATCAGTTGTCCTACTTTCTTATCTCTTATTGTATATGTCAACTGGAAAGTAGCCTTGGGACTTTCTAGATGCTTCTGTATCAATTGTCCTACATCAAAACCACCAAACTTATATAAAAGAGGACATTATTTTCAGATGAGCCGATAACACTAGACATGATTACCCCATTCAATATAGTTCCTTGAAACCCTTATTAGTTTTCATAGTCAACCATTAATTGTTTACACAGAGCCATGTACTTGCACATTACTCCGTATTTAAAGAATTCATTCAGCTCAAATCATTGAATACCTGTGACTTCTAGTTATTTGATGCCTGTAGCTCTTCCTTAGACCATAATAAATCAGCAAATAAAACTAAATAGGCAAATTTCAAATTCAGTCACCCCTTTATTTAAAAAAAATTTAATTTCTCCAATTTCTAAAGCACAAGGTCCTTAAAATCTGTGTGTACATTTTAATATGTTGGTACTGATGACTGCATTGCAAATTTCAGTTCAGCAAAGTCAAACAGCCTCACCTCTGTATTAATTGCAATAATTGGTGTAGAAGCTTTCACAACATCCCTTGCTTCAGATCCTTTTTTTGGTAACATATTTTTATGGGGTAAAGGCCTTGCTTCAGATCTTTAATTACCTTACCTCATGAAATTTTTGACAAGATGTCCTCTGGCCTGTAAGACCTGAATTGCAATGTCTAAAGCTTCTTTGAAGAAAAAAAAGAAAAGCCACTAAAAAACTTTGTCTAAATATAAGACAGCAAGAACAAGACTCTAAGACACTGTGTTCCAATCAGACAGGTAACAGGAAAAGAGTAGCCCCACTGAAATAACGAAGCTCACAAGAATCTCAAATCGGACTCTACCAAATATTTTCCACCTACTCCCCCCTCTCATAACAATTTTGTTTTGTTTTTTGGTTGGGGGAGGTGGGGTGGGTGAGGGTGTTGCGTTACAGTTTTGCAAACACTTATTTCTTTAGATTCTTCTGAAGTTCCTCAGGTTCTCTTAGTTCATTCATCCATGATCCACAACAAACAACAAATCTATGCCATTGACACTGGTAAGTATGATGTGGTGTCAGGTTCTAAACCCTTAAGCACCTATCTAGAAATCGCTAAAGTTTCTTGCCCCCAGACTTTATAGGGTTTGGCTGTGAGCCCCAGTTTAATAGATGTGTCAGAAAGCTGACAAGTGTAGTCCTGGGTTATTCAAAAAACTAAAAACATTTTCTGACGTAGGGTGTGGGGGAGCTCATTTATGTATTTACTTTTATAAGGAACAAGGCATTCATTATAAAGTGAAAGAAAGTATGGCAAAGGGAACAGAACAAGGTGTACTGCATATAATCTCAAAATCAAGATTTCTCCTTAAATCTAGATTGTACGGCAAGGGGAACAGAACAAGGTGTACCACATATACTCTCAAAATCAAGATTTCTCCTTAAATCTAGATTCTCAAGGAGAAACTTAGGAAATTTAAAATATTGGAAAACACCACTAATGTTGATAAAATATGATATCCATTTTTTGATAATCTGCTGACTAATGTTCTCTCTCTATTCATAAGTAGTTTACTGAACTAATGTTTTCTCTATTCATAAGTAGTTTACTGAAACCCCTCTTAATTCCTCCACAGCATTTGGTTGTTCCAACAAAGCTAATTTATGGATTCTATAATTTTTTATTTTTTAAGGAGTCATATTTGACTGACATCACTTTACAGCTGTGCCCACGATTGTTTTATGTCTATTAAACTATTTTGGATAGTTGTGAAGTACTTCGTAGTTTGCATGAGAAACCGACCCTATTTTCCAATTCATTATGATTTCGGTTCACTATTGTGTAATTTTGGAATAAATGTTGCAAAACTTGATATTTTCTATTTTTAACCTCTGTGCCAATTTTCTTGTTTCATCCGTCATTGGGGAGGCAGCAGTGTTAGAAGTCACCTAGGCTAATGGAGAGTTGTTTTCCTGCCACTCTTCTAAATTGCTTCATGAGCTCTATTTGATAATATATCATATATGCAGTCCTCTGACTTCTCCCTTACCTTCTTATTATTGTCAAAAACACCATGCATGTCTCATATGTTTTCTGCAATGCATTCCTACAGGGAGATTGTGAATGGGCAAGATGGTTGCTCCTCTCTAGGGTAAAGGGGTGCGAGTATGAAGCATCATTTTCTAATGCTCGCACGATCATGTCACACAATCTAGTTCCTGGTAGTAACCTAAGCGTTCCAGAGATGGATGAAATAATTCGTACCGTTGATGACATTTCTGAAGGAGGGGCAGAATTGGCAGCTGTGGCAACCTTAATGTATGCTTCTGTCCCAGTTCAAAGTTGTCTGAGTAGTGGTAGTGTAACGAGGCATAGCAGCACATCAGCCCAGTGCACACTAGAGAATCTTAGGCCTACTCTTCAGCGTTTCCCTACATTGTGGCAATCATTTGTATCAGCATGTTTTGGGCATGATCCCATTTCCAGTTTTTGGGGGCCTAAGGCAAATAATGGTAAGCTTTAGCTACCCTGTTTTGCAGCAGTAAAGCACTTTTAGTTCTTTGATAATTTGTTTCGTTGTTATTTACTATTTACAATTTTTCCAATTCAACTCTTTCAGATTATATAAATTGGCGCTGCAAAATATTTTTCTCTTCTGGATGTGATACATCACTTCGACAAATGCTGCCATGCTGGTTTCCTAAGCCTCTACGGAGACTGATTCAGCTTTATGTGCAGGTCTTGTTTTGTTGTTTATCATGTATCAATGTATTCCTTTCATTATTTATGGGCACGTTTGTGCACACACAAATTTCTCTTTACTCTTGATTTCTGGTCAACTGTGACTTGAAATGGCATGTTATTTGCTCCATACAGATTCTCCTGTGCTCATCACTTGTTAGTGGTGTATGCTTATTTGGATTTGGTTGTTGTATCATATACTTGCATGATATTGCAGGGTCCTCTTGGATGGCAAACAGTGTCAGGTCTGCCAATAGGAGAAGGTTTGTTACACAGAGATGCAGAATTTTTCATAAATGCTGATGAGGATACTGAGTTCGGCGCAATCTCCTTGGAAGCTACCATCCAAAAACACATTCAGGAGGAACTCTATAATTCTGCGCTTGGGGTATCTGTATGCTTTTCTCGTGTTAACAATTATTAATATTACTCATATCAGACTAATTTTAGCTTCCATCATCAAATATTAGCCGTTAAAGATAGTTTTGTTTGACCGTGTATTTGCCACAGTGGCTTTGTTGTTGTTGTGATTTGAACTGCAACTTATCTGTCATCTAGTTACTAATTAGACTTTCTTGCTTGCATTGTCGTATTTAATCTAGTGAAGTTGGGGGAAATTGGTTTATTGACTCATTTTTTTATCTCAATTTGAATGGTAGATGTATATTTTACTGAGTGGTACTACAAAATATATTTCTTAAAATGGAAGAGCAAAGGGCTGTGATTAATTGTTTTTTTTTTGTTTTAGTTTTGCTGAGGAATCGGTTATTCATTCTGTTGCTTCATTTATTCATGTTTGTTTTTGTGGGTATATCTTTTTAAAATAATTTCTTAACTGAATTGTTGCATTACTGTTCTTTCTGAGTTAACACAATGGAGTTGTAGGATTTCATTTTGATGATGTTGATACCATTGTACAACTGCTCAAATATATATTTGTTGAAACGTTAAAAGAAAAAAGAAAAGAAGAAAAACCCTATTTATTGCTTCTCTGGTGCTGTTACAATGTTCTGCCTCTCATCTTAGTAGTTTTATTTGTTTTTTTTGTTTTAGTTTTGCTGAGGAATCAGTTATTCATTCTATTGCTTCATTTATTCATGTTTGTTTTGGTGGGTATATCTTTTTAAAATAATTTCTTAACTGAATTGTTGCATTACTGTTCTTTCTGAGTTAACACAATGGAGTTGTAGGATTTCATTTTGATGATGTTGATACCATTGTACAACTGCTCAAATATATATTTGTTGAAACGTTAAAAGAAAAAAGAAAAGAAGAAAAACCCTATTTATTGCTTCTCTGGTGCTGTTACAATGTTGTGCCTCTCATCTTAGTAGTTTTATTGACTCCAGGAAAATTCACTTGGCTTGGAGCACCATTTACATCGTGGACGTGCACTAGCAGCTTTTAATCATTTACTTACTGCGAGAGTTCAAAAACTGAAGTCAGAAAGGCAAGCGCATGGACAAACAAATGTTCAAGCAGATGTTCAAACACTTCTTGGACCTATAAAAGAAAGTGAAAAGTCTCTTCTTGCATCTGTAAGTTTTAGTTTCTTCTATTCCAGTGTTATACTTTTGGTGAATGATAATTACTGGTATAGAAATATTTAACTTTGTATTATGGATGATTTTCTTCTGGTCTAAATTTATTTATTGCTGAGCCCTCGCTTTCATAAAAAGATTAAAGTCAAACGCTTACTACGGATCATGCTTTGAAGTTTGTTATTCTGCTCTATTGTAGGTCATGCCAATTGCAATTATGCATTTTGAGGATTCTGTGTTGGTGGCATCATGTGCTCTCCTCCTGGAGGTTTGTGGCTTTTCTGCCAGCATGCTCCGCATAGACATTGCAGCCTTGAGACGGATTTCTTCTTTTTACAAATCGAATGAAAATATTGAGAGCTTACGGCAACTTCCAACCAAGAGTTCTGAATTTCATGCAGTTAGCCATGAAAGTGATATAACAGTATCTATTGCTCAAGCTCTCGCAGATGAATATCTGCACCAGGATATTTCAAGCAATGGTAAGCAAAAGGGTACTCCAAATGTAGCTGCTAGTAGACAACCTTCACGAGCTCTCATGCTTGTTTTACATCACTTGGAAAAAGCTAGCCTTCCTCAAACGGTGGATGTAAAGACATGTGGTTCTTGGCTTTTGAGTGGCAATGGTGATGGAATGGAGTTAAGATCTCAGCAGAAAGCTGCAAGCCATCATTGGAATTTAGTTACAGTTTTTTGTCAGATGCATCACCTTCCTTTGAGTACAAAATACCTTTCTGTATTGGCAAGAGACAACGATTGGGTTTGTACATATTATCATATCATAATTGTCATTAATTACAAAATGAATCTGATTTGTGAATATAAATTTTCTTAAACTTGGATTCCTTCCTCTTTTTGTCTCTTTAAGGTCGGATTTTTGTCGGAAGCTCAGATTGGAGGATATCCTTTTAATACGGTGGTCCAAATGGTATATATTGCTGCTAATTTAAAACGTATTATACAATCTTGATGTGAACCAGATATTTAATAATATTGCACCATTTCTCATTATATAATTTTTCAGGCATCAAAGGAGTTTAGTGATCCACGTCTCAAAATTCATATTTCAACAGTTTTGAAAGGCATGCAGTTAAGAAGAAAAGCTAGCTCCTCCTCGTATTTAGATACTACAGAAAAGAATAGCGAAGTGTCCTTTCCAGAAGAAAACATTTGTGTCCCGGTCGAACTCTTTAGAATATTAGCAGAATGTGAAAAGCAGAAATTTCCTGGAGAGGCCATTTTGATGAAAGCGAAGGAGTTGTCCTGGTCAATTTTGGCAATGATTGCCTCTTGCTTTTCAGATGTGTCTCCAATATCTTGCCTAACAGTCTGGCTGGAAATTACTGCTGCAAGGTTAGTGCTGATATTCATTTACAATTGATGATGCTTCCTGGATTGTGTATTCATTTAAAACTATATCTATATGAATATTTTTATGTTGAGACTCACTGACTCCGCACTTGGTTTAGATATTTTTGTGATATGAATTTCTCAGGTGTCATTACTGATGCATTATTTTTCTTCTGACTGCAACTTTATGCTCCACAGGGAAACTTCTTCTATTAAGGTGAATGATATTGCTTCCAGAATTGCAAGAAATGTTGGAGCAGCCGTGGAAGCTACTAATTCCCTTCCAGCAGGAAGTAAAGGCATGTGTTTTCATTACAATAGGAAAAATTCAAAACGAAGGCGGCTTTTGGAGCCCATCTCAAGAGATCCCTCAGATGCTTCAATTTCTAATATTTCAAATTCTCTTCCACGTGCAAATATATTTGATTCCCCGGGCCTTATTTCTAAAGGGGAAAGAAAGATAGAACTTGGGGAAAGTATGAATGTTTCCAGTGATTCTGAGGAAGGGCCTGCTTTGCTGTCCAAGATGGTTGCAGTGCTTTGTGAGCAACACTTGTTCCTGCCTTTGTTAAGGGCATTTGAAATGTTCCTTCCGTCATGTTCTCTCTTACCTTTCATACGTGCTCTCCAGGTTTGTAAATAAAATTAAAATAAAAAATCCCTTCCATCTGTGATTTTTCATTTGAAGAGGGTTCCTCCTTTCAATAGGCTATTTCAGAGGGATTTTTTTTCCCGTCCTTTAGGCTATGTTTGAGTGAGGGATTTCCCAAGGGATTGAGGTCAATTTAGTAGGAAATTGATTAGAAAATGTTTGTTAGGCGGGATTAGAAATGCCTGATATGAGCACGCCTTTGTAATGCCTGATTTGCAAATCCCTACTTGGGAGGAGTCATTTACAAATATCTCTCACATGCCCTTGTAATGCTCATGGAGGGCATCTCTAATCCCTCATTCTACCATTTTGCTATCCGTTTCTTAATAACTTAGACCTCAATCCCTCTCCCAAACATAGCCTTAAGGATGTCTAGTTGCTGGTACTTGAGACTTTATGTTGTCAGATGCAACGTGCTGCTCCTAGAGCTGCTAGTATGTGTGGACAGTTCATATCTGTCTCCGATGATCAGCAATTGGCATATGGTTTGCATTGTTTATGTTAGAATTTCTTGGTTTATCCCTGGTGAAGTTTGAGCTATCAAGCTGTGCGCTGACATTGTCATGCTTTACTACTCTTTCTCAGCGTGATAGAAATCATGAATGCATACTTGTTCATAGATTAAATAACCTTGTGCTATTATCAATATTGAAGGATTTTTATTGTCTTTCTTACTGTCTTTTAGATGGAAGGGATTCGTTCAATATTGTTGAAAGGTCTTCGTTAATTTATAAAGATTTTGACATTGTTCAATTGATATCCTGTTGCTTCTGGAACTGAATAGATGGGTATGACAATGTATAAATTTTTTCTCCCACCTCAGGCATTTTCACAAATGCGCCTATCTGAAGCCTCAGCGCATTTGGGTTCATTTTCTGCCCGAATTAAAGAAGAATCAACACGCCTGCCAGTAAATGTTGGACGAGAAGCGCAGATTGGTACATCATGGATCAGCTTCACCTCCATTAAAGCTGCAGATTCAATGCTTTTGACATGTCCATCTCCTTACGAGAAAAGATGTTTACTGCAACTGCTTGCTTCAACTGATTTTGGAGATGGAGGGTCCGCAGCAACATACTACCGACGTCTTTATTGGAAAATTAATTTAGCAGAGCCATTATTACGCAAGGATGACATTTTACATCTTGGGAGCGAGACTTTAGATGATGTTTCCCTTGCAACGGGACTGGAGAATAACAGGCACTGGGAGCAGGCACGGAACTGGGCCAGACAGTTGGAGGCCAGTGGTGCACCTTGGAAATCTGCTGTTCATCGTGTAACTGAAAATCAGGTACTCTTTGAATTTAAATACTAATGACTTTGTGCAATTAGCCACTGCTGTAGAATTTGTGCAACAACTGTTTTGGACTTTGAGCTGCAGCTAGACTAGTTGGTTGGTGGCTGGTAAAACTATATTAATTGAGTTGATTTCTGCATTCTTTGATACTTTAAATAAGCCCTGGTAAGCCTTTTGTTTTGAAGCATGACAATTTTGAGTAGAGGCCTGCACAAATCCTGATTGGCCTGTTCTATTTCATAACTTAGACCTCAACTACAGGGTATTGCAATTGGTGGTGGCAATTTAGTGACATGGCAGAGTAAGCAGCAGTCATTTGTGGCCAGATCTAGTGTGGAAGTAGAATTTAGGGCCTTACAGTGTGTGGACTACTGTGGTTGAAGATCTCAATAAGAAATTTGAAGATTGCTCATAGGGACCCGATGAAGCTGTGTTATGACAATTAGGCAGTTATCAGTATTGCTCATAGGGATCCAATGAAGCTATGTTGCCACAATTAGGATGCTATTGGTATTACTAAACATGTTAGAGATTGATAGGCACTTTATTTAGGAGAACTTAACTGAAACTGTGATTATTCTACATTCTTGTATACATATAGCATCTCCCAAGGGTCTGAAAATTTTTGAACCTATGTCTCTAGTAAGTTTCTACAGATGCCTGATTGGTGTTAGATATGGTTATATTTCCTGGATATCCGCCGTAATAAACAATTAAATAGTATGGAAATAGGAGAGGATGCACCTTCTAATCTTATTTATACCTGTTTTTAGTTTCCAAAAATTGGATAGTTCCTTGACAATATTGCACATTGCAACCCATCTACTGAGAACCATGACTATTTTTTGAGAAAAATAAAAAGGTTTAAAAGGGCATATGGATACCTCATGTACGCATCAGTACTGTATGGGTCATGTTGAGAGTGAATCCCACACCGGGGAAAGGAGGAAGCTTTGCTTATGCTTACAAGTATTTGGGCTACTCCCCATATTGCCAATTGGTTTTGTGTTGTCCACAAGCTAGGCTCGATAATTCGTCACACGTGAGGGGGCGTGTTGAGAGTGAATCCCACTTTGGAGGAAGGAGGGACCTTGCATGTGCTTATAAGTAGTTGGGCTACTCCCCATATTGTCAATTGGTTTTATGGTGGAACCCCAACGTTCTTCAGGTCATCTATCCTAAGCACACTATAATTTATAGAAGGAAACTAGGAAAGGTATGGGTTAGCTATCAGTATTAATCAGTTGACAGATAGTGATTGATTATCTAGTAAGGTTGGTTGCAGGTATTTTCTTTGTTTATGTTTTCTTCAAAATTTGTAATATGTATGTATGCTTTAGGTTCCCTTGGTCAAAATGTGATCCTTGGTTAAGGAATATGAACATGGTAATATTGCATCACCTAAATCGTGAGAATATTCTGACCTCTTTCTCCTTTTTGTTTTCTACTGTTTACCAATTTAGGCTGAATCAATGGTAGCTGAATGGAAGGAGTTTCTTTGGGATGTTCCAGAGGAGAGAATTGCATTATGGGGCCATTGCCAAACGTTGTTCATCAGATACTCTTTCCCAGCTTTACAGGTACTTTGTCCTTCTATTTGAAACAGTTTTGAACCAAAATTCATTGACAGTCTGTTGTTTATTTTGTGAGCTTATTTGCTACGACGTGGTTTCCAGGCTGGGTTATTTTTCCTGAAACATGCAGAAGCTTTGGAAAAAGATCTTCCAGCTAGAGAGCTTCATGAGCTGTTGCTGCTTTCTCTACAATGGTTAAGCGGGATGATAACCCTGTCCAGTCCGTATGTTACATACAACACATTTTATTTCATTGTTATGTCTTTGTTTAATAACTTCACTAATTGGGGTAATCAATTTTCCAGAGCTTATCCACTTCATCTTATTCGAGAAATCGAGACTAAAGTGTGGCTCTTGGCAGTAGAATCAGAAGCACACATTAAGGATGAAGGAGACTTCAATTTAAGCAGTTCCAGCCGTGACCCGATTATGAAAAATAGCTCCAGTATTATTGACCGGACTGCATGTCTAATAACAAAAATGGACAATCATGTTGGTACATTTAAGAATAGAACGGTTGAGAAACATGATCCAAGAGAAAATAACCAGGCACATAACAAGAACTATGTATTAGATACTAGCTTTCCAATGACCACAGGGGGGAGTACAAAGACAAAGCGGAGGACAAAGGGGTACGGGCTGTTAAGACGGCCACCACTTGATGCGGTAGAGAAGCACACTGATCTTCATGATGGTTCCAACCCTCCCAACGTTAGAAGTGATTTACAATCTCAGGACGAAAACATAAAAATGGAAATGTCATTTTCACGATGGGAGGAAGGGGTAGGACCAGCAGAGCCGGAAAGTGCTGTTCTTTCCTTATTGGAATTTGGACAAATAGCAGCTGCAAAGCAACTCCAGCATAAGCTATCTCCAGATAAAATCCCATATGAATTTGTAGTTGTGGATGCTGCATTGAAACTTGCAGGAATGTCTTCAAGTAAGAAAGTATCCTTATCAATGCTAGATGAGGAGGTGCGTTCTGTTATGCAATCGTACAACATACTGAATGAACAGCATCAAGTTGACCCACTGCAGGTTATTTTGCAAATCTGCCCTTCTCTCATCTCTCTCTCCTTCTCTTGCACGCTATGTTTTTTCTTTTTTTTTCTTTGTTTTTTTTTTTGGTTTTGTTCATGTTCTCTTCACATGTATAAAGTATAAATTCCGTGCTAGCAACATATGCTGGCACAGGCTCTAAATCAGGCAAAAGCTTTTAGTTAAGCCACGTCTGCAACTTTTACATTGCTTTTGTTCCTTGTTTCAGAGACTGATTTTTCTAAATAATGACAGAGCTGCCACTGATTTTCTTTTCAACCCTCAGTTCTTCAAACATCACAGCGTGGAATTTCCCATCAAACTTTTCATCCTGAGTTGCAACTTCTTGCGCCTGATTTATTGGAATAGTCGGTTAATTCATTCTCTGGGATTATGGGTATCTAAAGTTTTCTTTATTGGAAGCTCTGTTTGGTACTGGTCAACTTGTCTATATTTCTTTTTTATTTCCAGCAACATGTTTCAACATGTTTATGCTTTTTACTTCATCGGAGCATATTTTCTGATTCTTACCGTGCTGCCAGCTTCCCCTGTTTTCAGTTTTTGGGGACCCTATTCCATCATACGATTTGAAGAAGATGGAATAAAATAAAATTTGGACTTCAGTTGCAGCTCTGTAATTAATTAGAAAAAAGTAGTTTTCAAAACAAGAAACAAAAGCAATATAAAAAATGGGACGTGTGACTTAATCAAAAGACTTTGACTGATTGAGCACCTGAGCTAATACTTGGTTGCTAGCACGGCTCAAGTAAATACTTGGTTTTTTAACTTGGAACTTTTAGTTCAAGCTCAATAGCTTTCTTAATGGCTATTTGTGGTCTACCCCTTCTTTCTCTTCTAACAGAGACCCAATATTGTTTCGGTTACTTGGATGATGCACTTAATGTCCTTAAATTAACGTGATATTCTGAATATCGAAGGTTTTGGAGAGTCTTGCAACCAATCTTTCTGAAGGTTGTGGGCGTGGAATATGTAAGAAGATAATAGCAGTCGCCAAAGCCGCAACCATCTTAGGCATTTCATTTTCCGAGGCATTTGATAAGCAGCCAATTGAATTACTACAGCTGCTTTCCCTTAAAGCACAGGAGTCATTTGAGGAGGCGCATCTCCTTGTAAGAACTCATTCAATGCCAGCGGCCAGTATTGCTCAAATTCTTGCAGAATCCTTTCTAAAGGTTTGTTTAAAAATATTTACTTGTTCGCTTGTTTTATGTTCAGCTGGTTTTTTTTGGGGGGGGGGGGGGGGGGTTTGGGGGGATGAAGTCAGCATTCGTGGTGTTAGACACATTTGTTCTCATTGTGAACAGAAACTTTGTGTATATCCATATACATATGCAAAACGTGTAGTATTGTTGAGATTATGAATCCCACATTATGGAATTAAGGGACCTTCCATGTGCTTGTAAGGGGTTGGGCCACTCCCCTAATTTCCAGTTGGTTTTCGGGTGGAACCTCAACTTCCTTCAAGGGTATATATAAATACATGAGAAATGGTGACTTGCCAATACAAAAATATTCTGTGTGTATACCACGGCCCCCCACACCCTCCCCCCCCCCCCCCCCCCCCCCCCCCGCGTCTCTTTCAGGCATGATTCGCCTAATTGTGAATCTAGAAAGTTGCTTATATATCCTGCAAATTATATTTTACCATTGTTGTTGTCACCTCTACTTGAACCACTTCCATAGTCTATATAATCGTTAGCTGAAAAAAAAAAAAGGTTCTTGTGTGCCAACAGTAATTTAATCGACAACACAATAAACAGTCTAGAAGACACAACACAAGTTCTGAACCCTAATTGAACTATCTATAGTTCCCCTTCAATAAGTATGTTCAACAGTTTTCATCTTTTAGATTTTTATAAATTTTTCTTCCTAAAGAGGTCGCACTTGGTGCGATGGCAAGTGCCTTCGTCCATGAGCGGTAGGTCTCGGGTTCGAGACTTGGGAGCAGCCTCTCCATAAATGGGGGTAAGGCTAGCCGACATTCACCTCTCCCAGACCCTGCGTAAAGCGGGAGCCTTGTGCACTGGGTACGACCTTTCTTCCTAAGGAGGTGTTTGTTTTTTCTTCTCTCTCTTCCTCAATTTTGATTGGTTATTTTCTGGGTGTCATGTTATCCAGTTGTTTTGGTAATGAATTGATTTCAAAGAAAGCAAAGACAAGCCATCTATCCCTTCTCTGTCAATTACCGTATCGTATTTGTATCAAATTTTTTACAATAACTCTTGTTGTTAGGAAATCTCCAGAGTTGTAATTGATAATCAATTTGGTCGGTATACAAGATGTGTAGGCAAAAAATTGAAAATTCAAATATCAAACCACTTATTAACCATTGACAGTATAGTTTTTAATATTTTATGTAACGTATAATGTAGCTCTTCTATAATGATGACTGTGTTAGCAGCTGTCAAATGAATTTAGGTTTCAAGTCTTGAGGTTTTTGTAACTAAGCTCTATTTGAGAGGTCCAGTATTTTACTTTAGGCTAGTTATTCAGATTGTGGATACAATATCGACACTTCATAATTGTCTTTGGTATTAATAAAAATATTTTTCTTTTCAGGGTAATACACTTTTCTTCTTAATGCGTGATTAATTTTTCATTTTATATGTAATTTTTTTTATTAGTAAGAAAATAGCTTAAATTTGGCTTGTGTATTTCTCGAGTCTTCACCTGTACATGAACACGTACATGATTCACTTATGGAATATAGTTTCATTTTGGATTTTGACTACGCTTTGTGCAGTATGTTCTACCTAATGGTAGTTACATTTTGGACAACAAAATGGCTTTAAAAGTATGTCAAACTTATGTTTCAGGGCTTATTGGCTGCTCATCGTGGAGGGTATATGGATTCTCAAAAGGAAGAAGGACCTGCTCCTTTATTGTGGAGATTTTCAGACTTCTTGAAGTGGGCAGAGCTTTGCTCTTCTGAGCAAGAAATTGGACATGCATTGATGCGTTTGGTTATTACCGGACAAGAAGTACCACATGCCTGTGAGGTACTGATATATCTTGATGTTATTGTTGAGTCTGAAAAGGTTACGCTGTCAAACAACGAGCCCGACAATATTAAGCTGAACATTTACAATCAAAGCATAACGTATTGAATCTATTTGTTGTCTTCCTCTTCTTCTTATTTGAATCTTGGCATATGTGGATTGTAGTAGTCTAAGCAAACAATTAAACCTGATAATGTCATCAAAATGCTTAATTTGGAATGACTCCACCCAGAGGGTCCCTTAGAGTGAGAAGGGGAAACTAAGAGAGTGGACACAGGAAGATCATTGAAAAGGATCAATTATTGATACGGTTAATTGGACCATCTTTCATGTTCAAGCGCTAATGCTTTTTTGGCCTTCAAACGTGTTTTCAGGTTGAGCTTCTAATTTTGTCCCACCACTTCTACAAATTATCATCTTGCCTTGATGGAGTTGATGTTCTTGTAGCCCTCGCAGCTACTAGGGTAGAAGCGTATGTATCTGAGGGTGATTTTTCATGTTTGGCCCGTCTCATAACTGGAGTAGGAAACTTCCATGCCCTCAATTTCATTCTTGGAATTCTGATAGAAAATGGTCAACTGGATCTCCTTCTTCAGAAGTATTCTGCTGCGGCAGATGCAAGTGCTGGCACTGCTGAGGCTGTTAGAGGGTTTCGAATGGCTGTTCTCACATCACTCAAGCATTTCAATCCAAATGACCTTGATGCCTTTGCTATGGTTAGTATATGCAGTCTTGATTTCTTGTGACCCTTACGGCTTATGTGGTACAGTAAATTGTGTGGAAAATTATGTGTTTGATATTTTAGTACTGGATTGCACCTTAATCCAGGCTATAAAATAAATTAATAGCCTACATATGCCTCTGAACAGCTATCTAATACAAGAGCTGTTATCTTTATACCATTTTTGTCAGGTCTACAATCATTTTGACATGAAACATGAAACGGCTGCTCTCTTAGAGTCACGAGCGGAGCAGTCATCTGAGCAGTGGTTTGGCCGTTATGACAAGGATCAGAATGAAGATCTTTTAGACTCTATGCGGTATTACATTGAAGCTGCTGAAGTTCACAAATCCATCGATGCTGGCAACAAAACACGCGCTGCATGCGCTCAGGCTTCCCTTGTGTCCCTTCAAATTCGAATGCCTGACTTCCAGTGGCTGTACCGTTCGGAAACCAATGCCAGGCGGGCCCTTGTTGAACAGTCTCGTTTTCAAGAAGCCCTCATTGTTGCTGAAGCCTATGGCCTTAATCAGCCAAGCGAGTGGGCTTTGGTACTTTGGAACCAGATGCTGAAACCAGAAGTAATGGAAGAGTTTGTGGCTGAATTTGTGGCCGTGCTTCCTCTCCAGCCTTCGATGCTTGCTGATCTAGCAAGATTTTATAGGGCAGAGGTGGCAGCGAGAGGGGACCAATCCCAACTCTCGGTTTGGCTAACGGGGGGAGGGTTGCCAGCTGACTGGGCCAAGTATCTGGGGAGGTCGTTTAGATGCTTGTTGAGAAGGACGAGAGATTTGAAGCTGCGGTTACAACTGGCTACTGTCGCTACTGGCTTTGGGGATGTCATTGATGCATGCATGAACGCATTAGATAGGGTTCCGGACAATGTTGGACCACTTGTACTCAGGAAAGGTCATGGTGGTGCCTATCTCCCGCTAATGTGAGTCACTCACTTCATTAGTTCAAACCTCAGGAGGATTTTGTATATTCGGGAGAGTCTCTGTCTGTAAATTATTTAACAGGTTTGCGAGAAAATTACGGCATGTTTTGTATCCTATTAAAAACGTGTTTGGTATGAAATTCAAAATTGCTTTTAAATCTTTAATTGTTAACAACAGACCCGACTCCGTTTACCCTCGACCTCCCCTTTCCCTGGACTTCCTTTCTTTCTCGTCCTCCCAATCTCCATGACCAAACATTGACATGGCCTATTTTTCGATGCTGAAGAAGACGGATCATCTGGTGAAACCGATCTCGGATGCGAAGATGAGGACCTACCAGACGAAGGCGTTGGCAACCAAGGATTCAATCGGAAAAGGGGAAGAAGATATCGGTTTTTGACTTGGGGCTGGCTCAAAGTCAGCATGCATGTGGTTTGTAGAGAGGACGAAGAGAAGAAGAGATCAACGGAAGGGGGTTGTCAGCGCTTTGAATGCTGGTTGGGGTGGACCGGTAGTAGACATGGTGGTTGAGGCGAGAGTGGTGTTTGTAGCAATGGTGGTTGGAATGGCAATAAAGACAATTTTATTGCTATAAAACTTCAAATTAATTTTCTATGCCACCAAAAATCAAAAGAATATATCAAATATGAAGTCATAGGCTTTGATACCATTCAAAGACACATTCATGATGCATTGCAAACCCAGTACCTCATTAAGGAAAATACACGAGCTTTATGGGTCGCTTTGGCAGATCGTTTCGATCACCAAAGATACATCTTCTTGCCCTAAAGCAAGACACAACTGGCAGTATTTGCGCGTCCAAGACTTTAAGTCTGTGAATGAATACAATTCTGAAGTTTGTTCAATCTAATCACTTCTCAAGTTCTATAACGAGGATTTGACCGTGGAGGATTTCTTGGATAAGACCTATTCGACCTTCTCTGCGACCAATATTGTCTTGCAGTAACAATATAGGGCTCAGAAGTTCACTAAGTTTTTGGATTTGATCACTGTTTTACTTCTTACTGAAAAGTGGAATCAACTATTGATGAAAAATCATCAAGCTCGACCTACTAGCGGGATCGCTGTGCCTGAAGCACACAATAGCGAAAATTGATGCCCGAACTGCCGTTCCAAGCGTGGTAGGCGCAACGAGAAGTCGTCCAACCAAGGTCAATAGAGCCAAGGCTCACATAAAGGAGGAAACCAGGCCCCAAAAGCGTTCTAACCTCGCTCCTAAGTTCTCGAACTTCAAGAATAAGGGAAAAGCACCTGACACCATGGATATGGACATGTGCTACTTGTTGGGATTTACGACTCAAAATTAGGATGACGCAAAAATTAAGTTTGCGTTACCTATTTTGTTTGGTGTCCTATTTGAGTTTGGATTTCACTTCTTGGTTGGATTCCTTGCTTGGTGGAGAGATTTTGTTAATTAACTATTTGATTAGGATTAGGATTTTACTTCCAATTAGGATTAGAATTCTCATTGTAACCTAAGTCCTATGCGCTATAAATAGGACCTTAGAGTTAGTTTATTTTGTGTGCCACACCATTAGTTTAGAGAGTTTTCTCTAAATTGGGTTTTGGGTGGAGGGCACCGTTTGGAGTCATGAGTGTGTGGCAAATTCATGGCTCATTCATTCAGCAATGTGGTGAGAACCAATTTATAAGTTAGAGAACAATTTGGGAGAATTCCGTTTGTTCGAGTTCTCTACTTGTTTGGTTCAAGGTTTGTAATTTGTGAAATTTGGGTTGTGAGAGTTAAACACTCTTTTGTAATCTCTGTTTTTTTTGTGAAATTCCTCGCCGTGCTTTGCATGTGGACGTAAGCTTTACGCTAAACCACGTAAATCTCTTGTGCTCTTTTGAGGTAGTTTTTAGTTTTCGCATATGATGTTGATATTTCGTACTTTGTTAGAATTCGCTTCCGTTTGTGCATAAAAAGTACAACAAGTGGTATTAGAGCCAGGTTCGGCTTAGGCTTGCTTGCCAATCATTATGAAGTTTTTTGCATCGTTGGTGAAATTTGATATTCGAAGAATTTGATGGGAGGAATGATCTTGGGAGTTTGTATACCAAATCCTTTGTTTGTCTTTGAGGCAATGTTTGTTCACTCTGCATTTGTCATAAGGTGGAGTTTGATGTTCATGACTTTCTTGAAATGTTCGTACTTTTTGGTTTTTCAAAGCTTTGTATAGAATTTTTGGCTCAATTTGTTAGTTTCCGTAATGGAATTTGTTGGAGAAGTGTTGAAGGAAATTTCAAGATTTGAAGACTTATGGATTTTTTGAGTCGTGGTGGAGATCAGTTTCCAAAGAATTTGGTGATCACTTTGTGTTTGTATTTGTTATTCCAATTTGAAGTTTGTATTTGATTTTGAAGTTTGCTAATTTTTCGCCGGGGTGGAGATTGTTGAGATTTATGCTCTAAATTCGCCGGGGTGGACATAGACTAAATTATTTAACCTTGTTGTATCTAGTTTATTTCTTTTCTTTGTTAGTCCATCCTTTGCGAATTAGGTACACCATTTCCATAAGTATACCACTATGAAACTAAAAAAGAAAAAAGCACACGATTAATTAAAAAAAAAAGAAAAAAACCAAACCGCCTAGGACTGCCTAGGTGCCGCCTAGGCGGCTGCCTAGCTCCAGATCGATTAATGATTTGCATTGAATCGCGGTGGGCCTTCACTGTTTAGCACCTACACAGCCACATGGGCCGATTTTAAGAACACTGGTAATTTTTGTGATTTGGGTTGAAAGGGTTAAACATTCTTTTGTAATCTCCGTTTGTTTAGTGAAATTCCTCGCTGTGCTTCACCCGTGGACGTATACTTTACGCCAAATCACATAAATTTTTTGTGTTCTTTTGGGATTGTTTTTAGTTTTCGCATATGATGTTGATATTTGGTACTTTGATAGAATTTGCTTATATATGTGCATAAAAATACAACATTACCGCTGTGGTTCGAAGGACCGTTGTCCCATGTTTGGCGAGCTCCTCCCAAGGTCGTAGCTGAGTATCATTCTTGTCGTAAGAGGTTTTAATCAAACTTTGCTCAAGTGGATGAACCAAAGAATACGAAGATGGAGGTTTCTGACTTTTAGGAGGATGTTGCCCCGATGGAAGATTAGATTCTTGGTCATGGGCCCACATTTGGCCAAATTTTACCCCTCGAGCCGAATTCCCTATGTTGGGCGAACCCCTATGTTATTTCTTGGTTTAAGTTTTAAACAATTTTGCTTTATGTTTGGATTATTTTGTTGATGTTTGTCTTAATTTTGGATATTAAGTTTATGGATTATTTTCTCGAATAATGAATTGAATAAAATTTATGTTTACGAACCTTTTATGTATGTGACAATTCAATTAATTTATTTCTAGATATGACTAGTAGTGAAGTTAGTTGTCTTGCAAATAGTGCAACCACGCACACCGTTGAATGCACCTATTTCACTAACTTTGTACCTAAGAATGCACCCTCTCAGGTCCATCCAACTTGATCGAAGGATAAGGACATGCCCGTATAGTGTTGTCCAATGGCACTGATTTGACCATTAAAGAGACACTTTATGCTCCATGTTCAGGAATAACGTTGTTGAGCTTTAAAGATACTCGAGAGAATAACTATCACACTAAAACCTATGTAGAAAAAGGAGCTTAATTTTTGTGTATCACTTCCTATGAATATGGCTAGAAGCGTATTCTAGAGAAGATGAAGCGTATCCCGAGTGAACTGTATACTACAACCATATGCCCATTGAATGCCACTATGTGGCTGGCCCTACCTTAAGGATTGCACACAAAATTTTTCTTTGGCGTGGCCATTTAGGACATCCTCGACGAGTTGTGATGCGCCGTATCCTCAAATCTTCACACGGGGATCCCCTAACACGAAGCTTAGGCACGATCCAGAAGGATATAAGATGCCAAACCTCCTATATGGGAAAGCTCATCTTTCAGCCTTCCTATGATAAGATTCATTTTTATCCTCCTACTTTTCTACAAAGGATTTAGGGGGATATTTGTGGATCAATTCAACCACTCTGCGAACCATTTAGATACTTTATGTTATTGGTTGACACTTCCACATGTTGGCCACATGTGTGCTTATTGTCTACAAGAAACATTGTCTTCTTGAAATTGTTGGCTCAGGTTATCAAGTTCAGGGCTCACCACCCTAATTATTCGATCAAATTCATTCGATTCGATAATGTTGGAGAACTCACATTGAAAACTTTCCTCTAGCATTATTCAATTGAATAAATTTGATCGGATAATCATGATGGTGTGCCCTGAACTTGAACATCCAGCATGTCGGTTGGGATTGAAGTTGAACATCCAGTACCCTATGTTCATACTCAGAACCACCTGATAGAAGCTTTCATTAAGCGCTTTCAAATGATTATGCAATCATTGGTTATACATACCAAGCTCTCGATCGTTGCTTTGGGCTATGCAATATTGCACCCAGCTATGTTGGTCTGTTTGGGGTTTGTTGCGACCTAACCATATAACGCCTTTCAGTTGGTTACCAGATACAAACTCGACATGCGATAAACGTTTTTGGTTGTGTGATTTTTGTGCCGATTGCGCCGCCCTTACATACTAAAATAGCTCATCAGAGAAGGATGAGAATCTATGTCGATTATGATTATCCTTTTATCATTCATTACTTAGAGCCTTTGACATGTGATCTCTTTACCACTCGTTTTGCAGATTGTCACTTCTATGAGATAGTCTTCCAGTCGTTAGGGGGAGATAAAAATGTCAACATTCCTAAGACTGAAGTGCGATGCATCCTAGATAGAGCGGAGCTCAGAGCATGGCAGATGCTTTCACTGATCTAGCGAGAGTGAAGAGATCACATATACCAGCTACAAACGTGCCTGGAAAGATAGATGTACCAAATGTACGATAGACTTCCCTCTTGGAAGGACGGGACGCCTCCGTGGTGAACCCTCATACTTTGGTGGCTAACCAATCCTCTGCTCCTACCTTGAAGCGTGGCAGACCCTTTGGTTTAAATGATTCACAACCCTAGAAGGGGCAACCCACAATACAAGTTGTTAATCATACCGTGAATATGACCATCGCTTACTTATTGTATCCAACACATGAGGAAATTATAGACTATAGAAGGGCCTTGGAATAAACCAATCCATCTCCCGAGAATCGAGAGATTTTGGTCCACTATACTAGCTTGGATAATGTTTGGTGTAGAAATGAGATAATAATCGACAATGCATTAGCATAGGCAACAGTTACCGAGATCATGCTGAGCGATGACCTTAAACCTCGTTTTATTGATGAATGTCACTGTAGAACTGATTGGTTAAACCGGAACTAAGCAATCCAAGTCGAACTCGATTCTCTTGCAAAACACCCTGTAACTCCTACACCACCACATGTTAAGCCTGTTGGCTACAAGTGGGTTTTCGTAAGGAAGTGTAATGAGAGGAATGAAATAGTGCGATACAAAGCACGTTTTGTGGTGCAAGGCTTTTCTCAACGCCCTGGGATTGGTTATTGAAAATTGAAACATATTTGCTCGTAGTGGATGTGATTACCTTCCGCTACCTTATCAGTTTGCTAGTTTCCAAAAAACTAGATATGCAGCTTATGGATGTGGTAACAGTGCATCTTTATGGGGATCTTGATACGAAAATCTATATGAAAGTTCCCGAAGGACTTACATTGGCTGGATCAAATAATTCTAGACCACTAAACACCCTTTCTATTAGGTTGTGGCGTTCACTCTATAAATTGAAGCAATCTGCTTGGATGTGTTATAACCGTCTGAGTGAGTATTTGATAAGTCAGGGATATGTGAACAACAAACTATGCCCTTGTGTGTTCATTAAGAAGTCACATTCAAGATTTGCAATCATTGTAGTTTATGTAGATGACATGAATCTCATTGGGACTTTTGAAAAACTTGAGAAAATTGCCATGCACCTGAAGTAGGAATTTGACATGAAAGATTTTGAGAAAACTTAATATGGTCTTGCCCTGGAGATCAAGCATTGTTCAAATGGAATCCTAGTACATCAGTCGAATTACACCCAGAAGGTGTTGCATCATTTTAATGAGGATAAAGTGAAGCCTTCGAGTACTCCTATGGTCATTCGATCACTAGATGCCAAATGAGATTCCTTCCGTCCAAAGGAAGATGAAAAAGAGAATTTGGAACCTGAAGTTCCATATCGAAGTGCGATAGACACTTTATTGTACTTAGGTAAGTGCACTAGACCCCGATGTTGTCAATCTTTTGGCAAGATATAGCAATGCGCCCACACACAAACATTGGACAAGTGTTAAAGACATCTTCCGCTACCTCAAAGGTACGACGAATTTGAGTTTGTTCTATTCATACAAATCCCTGGGAGGTGTTGCAGCCCCCCTCAGTTCTTGAGTCGATTCATGCCTTGTTGGTTATGCTGATGCATAGTACTTATCCGACCAGCACAAGGTGCACTCTTAAATGTGTTACATCTTTACTGTTTGAGGCACTGAAATATCTTGGAGGCCAACCAAACAAACCTCAGTTGCCACTTCTTTGAACCATGCTAAGATACTCGCCTTACATGAAACTACTCGGGGAAGGCTTTTGACTGAGAGTAGTTGTGGGACTTATTTGAAGTACTTGCAATCCTTATTTCATCGTTGACGTCCCTACAACAATCTATGAAGAGAATGTAGCATGTATCAAAAAGCTTAAGAATGGATACATCAAAGGAGACAACACTAAGCACATTTCATCGAAGTTCTTATTCTCACATCAGTAATAAGAGCATCAGAAGATTGAAGTCAAGCAAATCTGCTCCCAGGACAACCTGGCTGACCTCTTCACCAAATCTTTGCCAAAGATGACGTTCTAGAAGCTTGTTCAAGGAATTGTTATGCATAAACTTTCTGAGTTATAACATTGTTAGCTGGGGAGTATCCTGAAGTATACTCGCTTGATCTTAATGTACTCTTTTTTCCTACAATTAGGAGCATTTTTCCCTTTGGGTTTTGCTACCTAAAGAGGATTTGACTAGGCACCCATCTTGGGTTGGTCATATCCCTGATGTACGTCCCGTAGACTTTTAATTTGACTTTGCACTTTCTCACGCACTTTTCTTTATGGAGGACAAGTATTTGTCTACTCTTTACTACTATAAATAAAAGCATTGTGTAAGGAGAATAACACATCTCATACATACAGAGAAATCCCTAAACTTTCTCCTCTCTTGCCGAACCCTCTCTCTCTCCCTTGTTAAATAAATTGGCCACAATATTGAGATTTTATAAAAAATGGGGATGAGAAAATAGAACAATAAGATGGATTATCAGCACCAAGCAATTTATTTAAGAAGAGGACATACATTCGGTCAATTATTATTCCCTAGGCAATAATTGTCAATTATGCAGTTATTTATTTATTTTGTTTTGAACAAATGATATTATCTACACTAAAGATAATGAATGAGATTAATTTCATAATGGACTAGCAATAATATGGTTTAAACTCGTCGTTAACAAGAAACGAATTTAAAACTTAATAGCATTAAACCATAGTATCCAGTAAATTAGATTCTCACTGGGAAACGGAAGCAAGTATTAGCTCACCCCAATAACGTAGGTGACGTGAGTAACCGTCCTCTCTTTCTATCTCCTCATAGACCGATGCTATACGAAGGAATCTTTCGAGTCAGACGCACTAAACTGAACACTGGCAGACGCTGCTTTTTTGTAATCTAGTTCCTAACTTCCTTGTTCCTCCCTCTTCCTCGGTCAATCCACTCCATTTTCTTTCCCCACTCAATATATTTCTGATTTTCAGGCCTTTAGATCTCTCTCTCTCTCTCTCGTCAAATTGAATCAAATCATCCATGGCCTTCCGAAGGCAGCTCTTGAACAAAGCTTTAGGAGGAAGGGGAGAGGCTAAGACCAAGATTGCTGACTACCACCATTGTTATCGCAGGCCATCTCTCTCTACTACTACGGCTTCTTCTTCTTCTGCTGCCGCTGGTGTTGGTGAACCGTTGCTGCCACCTTTTGATTACGAGCCTCGGCCTTACAATGGACCTCGAGCCGATCAAGTATTCCAGAAGCGAAAAAAGTTTCTGGGTCCTTCTCTTTTCCATTATTATCAGAACCCTGTATGTATGTTTGTTTGTTTGTTTGCTTGCTTTTTCTCTACGGATTCGGATTTTGGATTTGGGTTTTGGGTTTTTAAATTCATTCACTCAGGAATTGAAATTAGTTCCATTTCTCGTTGTTTGCACAGCTCAATATTGTTGAAGGGAAGATGCAATATTTGTTCGACGAGAATGGCAGGCGGTATCTTGACGCTTTCGCCGGGATTGTAACCGTTTCTTGTGGACATTGCCATCCAGATGTTTTGAATGCTATCATAGAACAGAGCAAGCTTCTGCAGCATGCCACAACCATTTACTTACACCACGCAATAGCTGATTTTGCTGAGGCATTAGCTTCCAAAATGCCTGGAAATTTAAAGGTCTGTTGTTCGATTACTCGCTCATCTCAAGCATCGCAAAGTTTAATAACTAACTATGGTTGTATTATAATTGGAAACATGTACTTCATTTTGGCATCTTCGTCGAACTTCTGGTAGATGCTTTACCCTTTTTATGTGCTTCATTATCACTTTTTTCTTGTCTCCAACTACTAATTAGATAGACGGTTGTAAAATACAGGTTGTTTACTTTGTGAATTCTGGGACAGAAGCAAATGAATTAGCAATGCTGATGGCTCGTCTATACAGTGGTAGTCTCGGTATGATTTCGTTGAGAAATGCATATCATGGGGGAAGTTCTAATACAATTGGTTTGACGGCTTTGAACACATGGAAGTATCCAATTCCACAGGTTTGTATAATCACTAGTCAGCATTGCTCCAAAGTTCCATCACCAGGCGTGCTCTTTTTAGAATACATCTAAACTTGCTATGCCATTATTAGTTCTATGTAGAACCTGGTGGGGGTAACTATAGTTTTGTTCGGGGAGGTAGCCAGGTAGGGAAGGGGTTCTGGTTAAGTTAACCAGTTTATCAAATTTTAATTGGATGTATATCCTTACTAGTCCAACAACTGTTACCCGCGACTGGTGTGTATGCTGTTCAATTTGGTCTCTTGATGTACACCCAGGGTTATCCATGATTTTTTCTTTTTCATCTTTCTGACATGTTTTGTAGTTTTGCAGGCGCAACATTCTCAAAGTAAAATTCTACAAATGCTATTAAGACTATATCTGAATTTAATTTTTTCCCCATTCTTATTCAAATAACAGTTATACACATTCACTGTAGATGGTGTCCTATGACTGAAAAAACTTGCTAGTCAATGATTAGATTATCTATAACTCATTCTAACATATGCTTATGCCATGTACATTCATCAGTCCATACACTTGCCGAGTCTTCACTGTTTGGATAGCTACTACTTTTCCAGTGTTACCCAATTTAAAACTACATAATCCATCATACACGAACGCTTGGTGAGAGATGCCAATTTCTTTGCATTATCTACTTGATTGTTGATTTCTCATCTCAGGGTGAAATTCATCACGTTGTAAATCCAGATCCTTACCATGGGATCTTTGGATCTGATGCCAAAAGTTATGCTAAGGATGTACAAGATCACATTGACTATGGAACTTCAGGAAAAATTGCTGGGTTTATATCTGAAACAATACAGGTGAGAACTTACTGTTGTTTTTAATGTGGCTAAAAATTGATACATAGAACACTGTGATGAGAATGCCGATAGTTAATGAAGTATTTTTGCTTTATCTAACTTTAGGGAGTTGGAGGAGCAGTTGAACTGGCCCCTGGATATTTAAAACTGGTTTATGACCTTGTTCGCAAGGCTGGTGGTGTCTGCATTGCTGATGAAGTACAAACTGGATTTGGCCGCACAGGAAGCCATTATTGGGGCTTTGAAACACAGGATGTCATTCCTGATATAGTTACCATGGCAAAGGTCTTTATATTTCAATCGAGATTTTGTCTTTCACTATTGAAAGGATTGGATTATGTTTTTTTGGTGTATGTCAGTACTATGCGGTTGTGATGTATATTTCATTTCCAGCCTTTTCTATGGATGATGACTTTGGCTGTAGTGAAAAGAAATAACTTACAAATTTACAAAATTTATTCCTAATTTACTTCCAGGGAATTGGAAATGGATTGCCATTGGGAGCAGTGGTGACAACACCAGAAATAGCAAGTGTACTAGCCCAAAAGATTCAATTCAACACTTTTGGTGGAAACCCTGTATGCTCTGCTGGAGGGCTTGCAGTGCTAAGAGTTATTGATAAGGAGAAGCGTCAAGTTCATTGTGCTGATGTTGGCTCTCACTTACTGGGGCGTTTGAGAGACCTTCAGGAAAGATATGAAAGTAACCACCCTCGAACTCAGTGCTTTCTCTTTAATTTAAATATGAATTTTCCAGCACTTATATATCCCATGGCCCTTTATTGATTGAGAAGTTCACTGAGCCAGTTTAATTCTTTTATATTTAAGCAAAGATTAAATATCGAGGAGTGCAGAGCTATCCTATGCTCCTTGTGGTATTCCACCAACATTATTCCAAAATGATGGAATATAATGTTGGTGGCTGGGTGGAGGCAAAGGTTGGAAGCCACTGAAAATTGGAGTTGATTGCTCCAGTTTTCCTTGTCTCCAAATGTTTTCAGAGGACTAACGTGATCATCTCCCTCATCCATTCATGCACATGGGCTGAGACTCTGCCACCGTGGGATAAGTCCACTTTGAGAGAAACCATTCCATACTAAGCCTTTAAGGGTCATAAATTTGATGGTTTTAATTACTAAGTTGATTTTTGTTTCTTTTTTTTTTTTTTTTTTTGGTTTGATATCTGCATAAAGAATGGAAATGAGGGATTTTGTTGCAAGTCAGGGTTCATATGTTTGTGGCATGGTGGAGGTTTTGTAGGTGATGCTTCTTGTTGTCTTGGTTTCTTGTTACTTTAATCGGGTCTACTAGCATGCTACTGCCTATTCATTGTGACAGCAGTGTGGGGTTAATGCTTTCTCCACCAGCTACATTTTTGTGTTTTTGGTCCGTGTTTTATGCTTGTTTTCTTTGTGTTGCTAAGGGGTTTTTGTTGGTGTCATTTTGGGTTTGCCTTCTCAGTGCTTGTGGTCTAGCTGTTTTGTGGCTTTGTCTATTTGCGCTTTTGGTGTTGGCTTCACATGGTGGGGTTTGCTACGTGGGGTGATTTCCTTCTATCCATTCGTCTTCTTCCTCTTCTCTTTCATTTTTATTTAAATAAACAAAATACTTAACAGATCTAAGGGACCATACTACAAGGGCAATGACTGTTATGAAATAAACCTTATAATAGTTGGTATGGGTAATGAATAAATCACCCTTGCTTTTTTTCCATAAAAAGTTGTATATATTTATGAACGCTGCTCATAATGCCCAATCATTGTTACAAACAAATAGATTTTCAAGAACAAATTGGTTCAACAAACCTTTTACAATATTTTGGTCACGGAAGGGAACTGTGAAAAGGATGTTTCAGGAGTATGGTTGAGTGCCTAATCATTACATGCACGACTGGTTTTAAATATCCCTTTCTTTGCTTTCTTTTTAGTTATAAAACAGTTTCTCCATATCATTTAATAACCCTGTTAGTGTTTTAAATGTTCCGACTTGATTTTGCCCGCTTACTACACTAAGCCTAGTAGAATCAGTTGAGTCGCAACTGATTGAGTTAAAAAACTTGCACTTCCCTTCCTGGTGTGGTGCCATACTTTGACCTCTAAATGCTGTTTCAGTCATTGGAGATGTCAGAGGCCGAGGCTTAATGGTGGGGATAGAACTTGTTACTGACAGGAAAGAGAAGACACCTGCGAAGGCAGAAACCGCTATTTTGTTTGAGAAACTCAGAGGTATCAAGACACCCTCCCTGCTCATACTGTTAGTTCTATTTTTCAAAGCTCAAAATTTAAGTTACATTTATCTCCCTCTGCTTACATTTGCCCCCATGGAATTCCTTTTTACATGCTAATCATAGTTTGGTTATTGATTGAAGAGCTCGGAGTTCTAGTTGGGAAAGGAGGACTACATGGAAATGTTTTTAGGATAAAGCCACCGATGTGTTTTACCAAACAAGATGCAGGTACTTGTCATCTCTTACCATTGGTATAAATTAGTGGTAACCGAAAAACATTCTATGAGCTGAGAAAGAACAATCTAATCAACCTAGGACACACACATGGTGTATATTACATGCATGCATACATACAATTATTCTTTGGCAAGTCCTTAAATGATTGACATGTGATGGAGGAGCCAAGTCAAAAGTTCAACAAATGAGTCTTTCTGCTTAAGTAACAAATGCAGTTTGCACATGTCGTCTGCAAATTCATCGTCTTTGAGTCTCTCGATTGAGGAATTGTATGGCACGGGTACACCACCACGGTGGCATCCTGTGCCAATGAAAGAAAGAAATGTGTAAATTTTTGTCCACATGTCCTTGTTTCATTGGCACATGACATCATGTGGCGGTGTAACCATGCCATGTAAGTTGTTATCTCTGTTTACATTATTAACGTGGATCTTTCCAAATTCATGTACCAATTAGCCTATAAAAATGGCCACTGCATAAGCTTTTAAAATACGTGTTAGTGAAAGGAAATTCTGGATTTCCTGCTTGTGTGCGAGGCACAGCAACCTTGGAGTGATTCCAAGGCACCTTTGGTGTGATGCTGGAGTTTTTCTAAATTCTCTATTAAACTGATTCCACGATGCCAAAGGCCGGAGTGAGTCCGGATATCTTTGATGTTCCTATCTTTTCCTACTGTCCTACATCATGTTTTCAACTGTTAAATTTTGTATGAATGGTTGACGTCCATGCTTAACTGTGTGTGTGGCTGTGTATAAATGATGAAATTATTGTGCTCGGGTTACGTTATTATGGTTGGAATACATACTTAGATTGTAATTGTATGACTGCAGATTTCCTTGTTGATGCTTTGGACTACTCTATGTCAAAGTTGTGAGGGCTAATAAACGAAGAGCCAACCTGATAATGTGCTTTGTAAAAAACTTTGAATAATGTGAAGTTAAATCCCAAGCTTTCGTGCTCATATAGCACGAGAAGGAGCAGCTTGATCCTCTTGTCGAAGGTGTCTAGAAGTCGTTGGATGGAACGAATCCATGTATGAGGAGCGAGGACACAAATTTGTGCTCCAAAATGGATTCCTTTAGTTTATTGCTAGAGGCCATTACAAGAGTGAAACAAGCTGTGCATGTTTGTTCCTTGTTAAGGAATTAAGGATGAATGTTTCATATTTACTAAGCCGGAAGTGCTTTTCAACACCCTCCACTGTTGCTTTTTTTTTATATTTTTTTTTCATTGTCATGAAGCACAAAATTGGATGAGGATCTGCTCCGGATCCTCTTTGTGAGGGTTCTAGGAATCCTATCCATTCATGGTCGTGCGGCTAGAAATTACTATGTACTGTTTGTGTTTAATTTTAAATAAAAAAATTCATATCCCACAAAATTGAGAAAAGATCACAAGTTCGAAATCTTGTTTGCCAAAGATATGAAAAAAAAAAAAGAAAAAAAAAAAAGAAGACAAGAATGACATAGGATTGGAAGAAAGACGTGAAATTTCTCAACTAGGCCTACATTTGTTTTTGAGAAACTAGATCCGATTAAAACCAGGGCAAAGATGCCAAAGGAACAACAGAAGCCTACCCAGAGGCAAACAACAGAGGAACCCGGGTAATGCAAGGGGTTGAAGGAATCTGACGCAACCAACAAACAACAAGCGTCACCCCTCCCATTACCACAGCTAACTCAGGGAGGACAAGGAAGTCCATCATTACATAATACATGAACCAAAGAAGATGGCGGCCTATCGACCCAAGTAAAATCACACATCTCCCTATTTCTTCGCGACGCTAAACAATCCGCCGCCATATTGGCTGATCTTGGAGTCCAAGACCAGCGACAGTCTTGAAAGGAATCTCCAAGCAGTTTACACTTCGTCAACACTGGAAAAGCCTCCCACCTGCCATTTGAAATCTTACCCTTAAGGTAAGAAATAGAATCCTGGGAATCAGATTCAATCACAACAAAATTGAACCCCATAGCAACACCCATCTCACAGCCATGACGGATCGCAATTGCCTCTGCCTCAGCCACAGATTGAGCAGCAATACAACTCCTCCTAGCAGCAATAAAGGTTCCAGAAGAGTCCCTAACAACAACCCCCAAGAAACCCGATTTTGTATCTTGCTCCCAACTAGCATCGACATTGAGCTTGACAAAAGGAGGAGGGGGAAGACTCCAACGGGCTGGCACCTGAGCAGCAAGGTTGGTCAGTGAAGAGTTAAGCACCGTGGCCTTGGAGGCTTCATGGAATGCACGGGCAGAGGTGTCAATGGCAGCAATCACATTCCTCGGGATAATAGAAAGGTTTTGGAAAAGGAAATTGCATCTAGTTTTCCAAATTTGCCAACACGTGAATGCAACATAGGATAACACTCTATCCACCTCAACCTTCGAGTTCAAAGTGGAATTAGTGAGGGTGACAAGCCAACTCACCCAAGTAGTAATAGAATTGCGATTAATTCTATGATTCAACATACCATCGAACCATATCAATTCCACCCACGGGCATAAAAGAAAGAGATGCTCAATGGTCTCCTCGTGAATTTGACATATTGGACAAAGAGGTGATGGCGCCACCAGCCTGCTAAAAAGGCTCGCCGACGTAGCCAAAGCATTATGAACTGTCTTCCAAAAGAAACTTCGCAGCTTAGGTGGGGTATGAATCTTCCATATAGCTTTCCATAACTTTCCAGGAACAGTCAAGGAGGAGGATGAGCCCAAATTGACCCTTTGAGCTAGCTTGGCATGCACACAGTGATATCCCGATTTAACAGTATAAATCCCTCAACGATCATAAGGCCAAACCAACCTGTCTCTCAAACATGGATCCTCAACTAGGCCTACATTGATTTATATTATGGATATAACCTTGATATCATAGATCTAGTATTGATAGTCTAGATATTGTTGATACGATGTTCATGTTGTGCGTAAATTGTCTATGTGTTCACAATGTTGATGATAACAAAAATACAAGTCGGATAAAATGTTGTTGATAACAAAAATACATGTAAGATATGTTACGTTCACGATATTGTTAATATGGTTAAAACTACGGAAACAAGCCATCAAATGTTACATGTCCACGGATTCTTGAACTTCCTCTACCGCCGAGCAAAACTCGACACCATTTATTACTCACCTGCGTAATTCAAATATTCAAATATTCAAATTTAATTCACAAACAAATTAGCAACCAATCTCGTCTCTTTTATTCAAACAAAAGATGAACCCTAGCTTGAAAATTCCAACGATGCAATTTGCATTTGCGCGAGGCAAGATTTGGGGTTTCATGTCAACAAAGCACACAACTAGTTCTGGCTTTTAGGGAGTAGGCAAAGGGTTTCGGTTCGGAGCTGGACTTTGTTCGAAAATTTGCTTCTCAGCTGCAAAACGGAACGTGACTTTTGTAGTTGCCAGAAGTGATTCTCCAGCCACCTTTGCCGGACACCACAAATTTGTTTTCAGTAGCTCGCAAACAGGGCTGATTGCGCACACTAGTTGCAAGTAGAAAACTTCTCTTCCGATGCCCGCACTAGTCTGAAAATTTCGCCAACGTACCTGAAAACGAGCATCCCATCCCCACTGAAAACAAATGTCCATCATCAGGTGAATGGCTTCTATACATATCAATCAAGTACGTACTATCAAGACCTATTTTAACAAACCTTTCCAGAACAAGACCGTTCATGTTCAAAGCACGACGATAACCGCACTAACAGTCAGTACACATCAAAGAAGGACGATAACCTCGTAACATGATCCAGTTCCTTCGATAAGACTCAAATCCTAACTTCTGTAAATCTCGTTTTCTAACATACAAAGACATCGAAAATAAACTTATTTACATAGAAGCTTCCAGCAGATAAAATGACTCCATATTTACAGCTTCTGAAAATATGGGATGCTGCTTGAAAATTTTCGGCAGCTTGGATTATGTTATGTCTACATATGTATGGATATGGAACAACATTACCCAAAGCACCTCTGGTTTCTTTTCTGGTGGTAATTATCCTGTTGATATATTGAGCCTCATCACTTTGAATGCTCTTGATGCTAAAGTTAGGCAGGCTCACGCGGACGAGCAGCCCAGAGTGAGCTCAAAGCCCGAAGGCGATGGAAGTACCCTCCCAAGGCAAGAAGGCCTCGAGCAGCCTGGCGGGTTGTGAGGATGCGTGACATCTGCTGTAAGGTCTCCCGCCGAAGATGATCAGCCTGTTTGGGTAAAAAGATCATTTAGTCAGAAAACTTGGACTAATAAAACTCCAACAGGAAACAGGCGGATGGAGTATAACATTACCTGGGTCACAAAGCTCACAAGAGCTTCCAATCGCTCCATCGCAATAGCCATCTGCGGGACATAACTGCCTTCGCCCAGTTGACCAGCTGCCACAGTCTCGGCCAGAGTGTGCTGGAGTTTATCCATACCTTGAGAAAGAGCATCTTCTGCTTGTTGACATGATTGTCTAAGGTTGTGAACATCCAAAAGTTGTTGGTCTGTCAACGGGTCAAGGTGAGGCTGAAGAACCTGTAATTTATGTACTCAATGCTGGAACTTAGTGTTGAAAAAAATATGCCAAATGAATAATAAGGCCACGTTTTGGCGAGGGATTTCCAAATCCCAAGAGATTGAGGCCAAGTTAGTAACGAATGAACCACAAAATTTTAGTTAGCGGAGAATAGTCATGAGCCTTGCAAAGACATGTACGAATGATTTGTAAATGAATCATTCCAAGTACTAATTTGCAAATCCCTCTAAAATGCTCATGATGTGCATTTCTAATTCCCTCTAACATTTTGAGGTCTGAAATCCCGAAGATGAAGTTAACATACAATCATCCTACAGGGCAAACATTAGATCCTCTGACATCCTATAATTGCTGATTCTTTTTGGTTTTAATGAATAACTCTAATATTATGAGTTCTACCGCAACCCGACAAGTCCAGAGAACAAAAATGCATCTATCATCTTCACTTTTGAATCCTGTCAAACCATAAATTACCTTAAGAAGCTCTGAAGGGCGAAACCCTCCAATCCACGAGAAAAACCGTTCAGCTGATGTTTTCCACATCCCAGACATCACATAGAAAACGTCAGCTTTCGCAGCTGTTGATTTCATGCTGAAAAGTTCAAAATAGTGACTCATGCCGTTATCCACAAGGAACCGAAGCTCTACATCACTTATACGAGCGTCCAAAGCACTTCCCAGTTCACAAATTTGCCTATTTTGTTCTTCCACCCAGTGTCCATACTCCATCTCAAATGTTGTTATACCTGCAGAACTTGGAGTTTCGAATTTTAGAATACAAGGACATGAAAATCAAAGGTGAAAGGGCAAAAAAATTTGTTTTCAAACACGTAATAAAGGTAATGACACAACACAATGAAGATATGGCAAAATGCAGACAAACAAATAAACCTGAGTTTATGGTGCCAGAAAATCCAAGAGGATTAGTATCCAATCCACCGCCGATATACACGCCCTGCTATAATTTAGGAGGAAAGAAGTTATATCAATTGTTATTCTTCGGAATCAATCAATAAATAGTAATCACATAAAAGCAAAGTAATCTTCTCCTGACCTGTTGTTTCACTCGGTCAAGTTCTTGCTCTAGTTGAATAAGCTTCACACGACTCGTTTCTAACTGCTGAACATAGGCCTGTATTGGAAAACTCATCAACTTAGTCCATTACATCACTGGTTGCATGTATCATATCCTTTCAAATACTTAGTACACTTCCTACCTTCTTTCGCATCCGGCTTTTACGAGCAGCCTCCCGATTTTGTGCAAGACGTCTTTGCACCTAAATATTCAACACAGAACTAATGTATAAGCTGCTGGTGTGATAGCATTAACTACCAAGATGAATTACTAGAACAAGGAAAATGACAGTTACTTCAACTAATACTTCATTAGTCTCAATCTCCATTCATGAGTCATGACTAATCGCTGAAATCGTGAACATTAACAAAGCAAGCATGACAGTAAAAGAGGAATTGCAGGTACATGTGTATTTCGTGACAACGCACAAAAGAGAAGTGGGCATATATCGAAAAGAAATATCTATGTATCATAAAGAAGAATCATCAACAGAGAGTCAGAAGCGATGTGGGCAGTATAGTTACCTGCATGCTTTGTTAAAGAAAAAAAAGAGTTCACCATGAGGGTGAAGCAGAATTCTGGAATTCTTACCTTGTCCGTAGGTTTAGTTGCTTCTTGATCATACTTGCTAGAAGGTCCCAGAATTCCATGAGAAGCATCCTCTGACTAGAGAAATCCAATGATAACACAACAGCTGAGAAAAAGGACTAATGTGGGCGGGCGCCAGGAAACAAGAACAAAGGGCATAAATTTCAAAAGTTCACCTGGTTATCTAGTTTTGCGTCTACATCCAGTATCATGGATGCTGAGGCATTAAAATTACCACTACTCCTAAAGCTTTCGTCCCACATGCTAATTTGGTGGATAGGCTCAAACACTCCCATCCTTCTTGAGGTGACAAACTGGGTGGATGGAGAATTCATGCTTCTTCAACTGGCAATGGAAGAAACCCAATGAATTTTTTTTACATATATAAAAGCATGTTGATCGTAAAACCTCCAAGATTTTTCAGAAAGAGAGAAGTTGGAAAACCAGATTTCTATAATCTCGATCGATATGCCAAAACCGATATCCATCTAAGGTCTATTTGTATATGAATTCCAACGTAACTAATAATACACTGCAATTAGTTAACAATAAAACAAGAAACAACTGCAAGTTTCCAAAAAAAAAAAAAAAAAAAAAAAAAAAAACAAGAAACGACTGCATTACGAATTGATAAAAATTAGAGAGAAACAAGTATATATCCCTACACTCCGAAGGGACGGAAGCTCAGACAAGTACCCCTAGCTTCTGAAGAAATTATCAGAAGTGTGGAGTTGCTAAGGTAACAAGGGTTTCCCATACTTTTAAGGACAGAAACGAAACGAAAGGTTGTCGAAAAATATACCATACAAAATGTATTAGGCGTTGAAACTGCACAAGGTTTCTCCTAAGGTGGACAGGTTCCATTTCCATACATGGTTACGACTTATGCAATATGATTAACAACAAAAGTTATAAACGTTGATCATATGAACACACAGAGAGAAAAAAGAGATGGAAGAAGCAGGCAGAGGAGGAAGGACGACAAATATTTTGAGACACGATACCAAGTCAACCAAACATCTTTTTTTCTTCTTCTTGCATTAGCATCAACAACTAAAAACAAACTAGTTGCTTTACTTTTCTTCTTCTTCTTCTTCTACTTTTTCTCGGAAACCAATCATCTCTTCCCAGTTCCCCCTCGTGCTTCCCACAAAAACACAAAAACATAAACAAAAGAAAAAAAAAAGAAAAGATCAGAAACTCACTGAATATCTGAATTGAAGCAGAGATATGGATTTGGAATCGAAAACTCTGGCTCTAGCTGCTGCTGCTCTCGGTCGATAGTCTCAGCTCTGCAAGTCCCATCATCGACTTAGCAAGAGGGAGAGAGAGAGAGAAAGAACACGACGACAGCTTATAAAACACACAACTTTCAAACTTTCTAATCCCATCTAATCTAATCTTTCTTTAACATACTCATTAACAAATAAATAAATATATCCCAATGACTTAATTATCATTCACCATTGCAACTCGTCGGTTGAAATCTCTTACTCATCGACTCACTGCTTCCCCAATTCAAACATTTTCTCCATCGTGCTGAATGTAAATTGATGTACTAATTACTTCCATTCAATATAATTATTGACCACTGCAAGTAGTGCATTGATTTAGTGGTTAGAATCTTTTTCGAGAATCTAGTACTCCGTCTAAATTTCAAACCCTCATTCTTTTCAATCAAACTAGCATAAGCTCACACAACTTGCGTAGGTGGATAATTTTTTATTTTTTATTTTTAAAATGAGAAAGAGAGAGGGAGAGAAAGAGATAAAGTGGAATGGGAATGAGTTTTTGTTTTTATTTTTATTTTTTAAATTAGAGATTTGTTAGGATCACATGTAACTATACTTTAAAAAAAAATCAGTAAATTTAGTTTGTGCAAAATTTCTTTATTGTTGATAATTTTATTTTGTAATAGAAGAAAAAATGTTTAAATTAACCTAGAAATATCGATTGTATTCAAAATTATTATAAACCTACGATCTAAAGGTATTCTTCTTCAGTTGTAAGTATGAAGTCTTATGTTCGATTCTCGCAAAAAACGAATATAAATCACATTATTGCTAGTTATTATGAGGCTAAGTCATTCCTCCCTTTAATGAAGATAATCGTTTGTTTAAAAAAATTATTATAATCCCTTAATTGTATTTCCCGCTAATCTCTTTTTCCTTTTTGGAACAAAAAGAAAAATCTCTTTTTATTTTTAAATATATAATAAATACGCCATGTATACAATATTTTTAACAAAATTATATTTGTATTTTTGGTCCTCTGTGTCTGAAAGCTGATGTGGGTGTTAGTGTTAGATACAGAGGGAGAGAGTGTGTGCGTGTCAAAGATTAAGAAGCTGAAAGAAGGAGCGTCGTAATCCTCATCCTCCCACTATAATATCCCACCCACCGCTAATGTGCGCACCAGGTGGATGGCTCTCCTACGCTTCTCCTAACCTACGCACTCCCCGCGAGTGCTCCGCTCGCTTCGTATTCCCGGTTTGTTATTTGCCCAGGTTTCGGGAATTCCCGGGTATTCGAGTAGAGTTTTGGGTTCCGGAAGGCGTTTGATCTTAACGCGCGATGTAGGTGCGTAGAGAGAGTGGGGGAGTTGATAATTTCGCGGGAATGGATGGAGTGGCAGTTTTTGGAGGTGGGGTCGGCTTCGCGTGTTATTGTCTAATTTGCCTCTAATTAGGGTTTTGACTTTGTTGTTGGGGTTCCAACCTTTTTGAGAGTGGGAACAGCAGCGGCTACAAATACTCTTTCTTTGTAAGTTGTAACTATTTCATTTTACAATGGATTTTTTCATCGTGTTTCTTGGACATTTTAATCGTTAAATCTTCTAATAAAGGTTGTACTCAGTGCACAAAGTTCCCGCTCTACGCATGGTCTAGGAGAGGTGAATGTCGACTAGCCTTACCCCTATTTATGGAGAGGTTGCTCCCAAGTCTCGAACCCGAGACCTACCGCTCATGGACGAAGGCACTATGATACCACATTTCTAATAGGACGTAAGGCAATATGAGTAGAAAGAAAAGTGAGTTTTTTTAGTAACAATGTTGAGTGAAAATTAGGCAATTTCACTTTTGTTAAACATGTGAGTCAAACTGCATAAAATTAGATTTTATGCAAATTACATTTTAAGTAAAAAGGAATAAACGTTACCACCGCTACCATGTCCTCCCACGCATCACCTCCTCAAGATCACTTGCATTCATAAACAGTTGCACTCAGAGCTAGATATCTAACAAGTTAAAATAGTAATCGCTAACAAAGCAATATAAGATATTCAGTCAGTTGAGCAAAATGAGATACCGCACATCGAGTAAGATATCCAACATGTTAATATAAGGGATATCGCTCACTTGGCTAGATATTCAGGGCAATATATCTAATGGCTAAGGCCTTTATAATGGGCAGGAAAATATGAGTGTTATGAGAGAGATTCCTTTTTTTTTTTTTTTTTTTTTTTTTTTTTTTTTTTTTTTTTAAGTTTAATTGAACTTGTGATAGAAATGACAAGAGAAAGAAAATACATAACCAATCATAAAATACAAAAAAAAAAAAAAAAAAAAAAAGTAGATGGGTCTTACCTTTAATCTATAAAAACAGACTTATATCAAACTCATTGCGGCAATAGTGTGATACAAATCAAATTTACAGTGTTTGATTTTTATACATAAACATCACACTGACCTAAACCACTTTTGAAGGCCTAAGGCCTTGGATGGTGGGCCGAAAATTGAGTATGATGTCATTAATATAGCAATCTCTCCTAGAGTGGGCTAAAAATATGAGTACAATGAGAGTAATTCTCATTTTTAGCACAATACATTGAACTATGAGTGTGTTTCTTTCCATACAATATATTGAACTCATGAGTGTGTTTATAAAATATATTCGTATTACACTACTCACCTTTATCAAACTCGCACTATAAGCGTTTGTCTATAAGCAATGAAAGTCCAACTCAAACTATCCAAGAATCAAATTCACCTAAACCACTCTGAAATGCCTGAAACCAAACGTGCAATATCGATTATAACTTTTTGATTACTACTTAAATTTCCATGTATTTTGATTCACGTTTGGAAGGAAAGATTTTAGGTTAGGATTCCAGCAACCAAAAGTTCCATGCTCCATATCTAACAACAAAGAAGCCATTAATAACTTATAGGCTCTAACCCTTGTACAAATTATGAAAAAATAATTTCCTCATAAGGGCCACTTAGTATTACGGTTTAATAGTATTCATCTTCACTTGTAAGTGAGAGATCTTAGATTCGATTCTCGCCAAAAGCGAATTTGAACCACATTATTGCTAGTCCATTGTGAGGCTTAACTCACTTCCTCACCCATATATCATTTGTTAAAAAAAAAAAAGACTTATTAGTTAGTCGATAAAAAAAATTCCTTACAAGTTGGGCACTCTTTAAATTGCGATTACATCATATGCTAATATCATAAGCCTTTTTTTATTAGCACCCTACATTAAAATTTAATATTAAATAACTTGTGTTCCTTATTGTGGAATGACAATTTCAACCTTATTAGGTTCTAAATACACCCCAAATCACTTAATGTATTATTTATCTTCTTCAACTATCAAAACCCCTTTCCACCTTCCATTGTTGAACAAATCCCTAACTAACGAAACTACAACACGTTGCTTGAGAAAAATTATTTTTGATGAATGAAACACGAAATTGATGTTTCAGAAACTTAACATGAGGTAAACCAAAAGAGTGTGAGAATCATTTAGAGAATGCATCCCGAGAAAATGACAAGTATTGATGGATATTATATATTGAAATAGAACTAGAGAATCTGGTCTTTTCCAGCCATATATAGTAGTTAAATTGGGAACACAATGGCACAATAACGCACCTAAAAAAGATGACAAAAGTAGAAGAAGAAAGATTTCCAATAAGAATTATGAAATCTTTGCTAATAGAAAAATAACACACAAGCTTAGACAGATGAAAATGGATGCACTTTATAGAAGGTGATCCTCCCTATTGGACATAGAGCATTTAAGATATTTACAGGTTCAGACACCTTATCATTTACCCACAAATTTGGAGAAACGATTCAATCTCATTTTCTGCTCCATGGAAAGCAGCAACTCTGCAAAATTTCTGTTCGAAAAAGAAAACAAAATGAGATATAAAAACCAATATTTGTATGAAAATGTGGGGTGTATAGAGAATGTGGGGTCTATGTAGAAAATGTAAGGTATATGTTGAGAATGTGGGATGTTAGGGTATTATGAGGAAGTATGTGGGGTGTATTTAAATAATTTTTAATTGAAAAAGCAAATGTGAGGTGTATTAAGTGTGTGAGATTTATTTAACAATTTGTGGGGTGTTAATATAATAAGCCATATCATAATTGTTTAGGCATTAAGTTAAAATGTAAGTAACCGTAACACGGATAATTAGTTACCTAATGTCATACGCAACAACGCTCCTTCAAATTTATTTGGAAGGGCAACTATGCGATGTCTTTAGGTCTCCTCTATCCAATGTCATGGTTCTCGGGGAGAAAATAGTTTTTTAAAGTGAAAATAACATCTCCTTTTTTTAGTACATCGATATTTTTACACTAAAGGGAGGGGAAGTTCGGCTAAATCACACAATAAGCAGCCTAATTTGGTATCGAATTCATCATCCACGAGATTCGAACTTAAGATCTCTCACTTCTAAGCGAAGAGGAATACATCAGACTGTAGTAGCATCTCTTGAAAAATAAAAATAATAATACTGGGCTACTCAAAGAATAAGAAGGAATTGCCTCTCAAAACGCTTCGTGGTTGATTCACAAAATTTCGTGTTTACGATTGACCCGTTTATTTTATAGATGATTTTGTAAAGATCACTTATGTAAAATCACAATAAAAATATGAGGTCATTTAGTCATCAAACTGTGGAAAACATATAATCATAATTGATACAAGTATTAATAATCGTCTATCTATTTTCTATAGTTAATTGACCAAATGATCTTTTTTTTTTCATTGACTTTTTGAAGAGATGATATTTGTCGACTGATTTACGATATTAATGATTTTAATCACAAACACCAAATTTTGTGAATTGGTCAAATAAAAAAGGAAAAACAGATACAAAGTTGCACTTGCGTAGCACTTCTCCTTTTTTTTTTTTTTTTTTTTTTTTTGATAAACTGGGTAATCTATTGCAGGACGAGGCAAGCACAGAGCTAGACAAGCAAAAGAATTGAGCAATACAGGAGGGTATAGCAGAGAAGACGCCGCAGTAATACTACAACGTCACCTCCTCCACTGTCGAAACAAAAAAACTTACTTAGGACAGGGTTACCATCATTGTTCAGAACATGCACCAATGAAGATGGGGGTTGGTCGACCCATATAACATTGCACATCTTCAGATTACTTGCCGACACTAGAGAATCCGCCGCTATATTGGCTGATCTTGGAATCCAAGACCAGCGACAGTCCTGAAAGGATTCCCCCAAATCTTTAACTTTCGCCAAGATAGGAAAAGCCTCCCAACTGTCATTTTCCAACGAGTCCAATAAACAAGAAATGGATTCAAGGGAATCAAATTCAAAGATTATCGACCTATGACCCAAGGAGGCACCCATCTCACACTCATGAAGCAACGCCAAAGCTTCAGCCGTCGCGACGTTCGGTGCCGTGATTGAATACCGAGCCGCTGCCACAAACACAGCCCCCGCTGCTCGCATCACCACTCCAGCAAAGCCAGATTTTGGAATAATTATAAACCTAGTTCTCTTACTTTGGAATAGAAGTCTCACCCTGTTCTCACTTTTGATTAGATCCATCATATCCACACTTGTGAGGACCAAACAGAATTTGTGGGCCCGTATTCTTTATGCAATATGCAACACATGCTCCCCGCAATAGTTTATTTTCTCTTATTTTCATAAGGCTTCCCACAATATTAAGTTTGGGAAAATAAGAAATATTATCTTAAAACTTCCTATATATACACTATTTTTAATTTCTCTTACACTCCTCGTAAACTTTGGTAATCAAAGATTATATATTATGTATTATTTTATATATTTATTATAAACGGTTTGGTTCAGTTAACTCCCGACTTATAAAAATCAAAACCGCATGGTAAACCGATTCCTTTAATTTGATTTGGTTTTATAAACCAAATGGACGAAAAACACAAAGAGCATTCTCTAGTTATTAGGATGGTATTATTTTCCATTGAAGTTATTTAGCTTAATCCATAGGAGAGGGGAGTGTGAAATCTTTTTTAACAATGAGAAAAGAAATACTGCAAGAGTAAAGAGAAAATAAATCAGAGATCATTTATGGATTCAAGTATATGGAATTAGATGACGTTATAAGTACCAAGTAACATATTTATAATGAACCATTCATTTATTTGATACATTTGAATCATATTTTTTTAATCTGAAACTGAATTTTCATTTCTGTAAAAATAACAGAGTACATGAAGATTGGGGGAGCAAGGGAAGCCTCATTAAAAACCTCCAATGTAGAGGGAAAAAAAGTACTTCACCAAGTTGCTCCCCACTTACATTCAATTATCATTCTCCAAATGTACTTAAAAGGAATGAGCCAAAGTGGCTTGACACACCCCGACCCAGAAAGTCCACCTGGACTCTGAATCAAGCTGTGCTAGCTGACACCAGGAGAGTGACGAAGCCAAAAGTGTAGTGATGTGGAAAAAGTGAGTACATTTAATCCTAAAAGTGCCTAATTACAAGAGTGCGCATGTGAGCGGGCATGAACTCATTTCACACGTGATGCCAGAACATAAGCAAAGTACAGTAAAGGTTGGATAAGAATTATACCATCGGAAGTAGTCTTTAATACCTACTTTATGCCAGAAATCCTCGTCGACACAAAATTTGCCACTAAAACCTGGATGGGTGAAAAACAAAGGTGAGTGTGCCTAAAAATAAAGTTTTGTAAAATCTTTTTGAAAATATAATAACCCCTTGTAAAACAAGTATAGTTTCCAAAATAACATACTATATATAGATAGTAAGAAAATACTTTCCATAAATTGTAATATCTAGAGCATGCAATATTTCACAATATCTCATACGTAAGCACATAACATTCGATAATCGCAACATCTCACATAAACGTATATATCATATCGAGTGCTCATCGACATGTACTAACACACGAGTTCATGCAGAGATATTCTAACACGAACAGGACTGGGTGTAACAATGATTTACGCTTTAGTAGTACAATCACATGAAGACTGACACTATGCACGTCACATATGAGTCCTAATTGCCTATAGCAATCTAGGACATGATTGGTACCTACAATGGATCCAAGTGAGCGTACGGTGCAATGTGAACATACACGTGAAGCCTGGCCTTGGCCTGGGCGAGTACAAACACCAATAGTACACGATGATCATGCAAAGGTAAATCGATAATTCGATAATTCAATAATCCTAATCAATGAGAGAGTTTGAGAATGAGAGAAAGTTAGATGGGGAATAGAGGGATCCTGAGAGAGTAGGAGACACGGGGGAGAGAGAGAGAATGGGGTGTGGGCCCTACGTGGCACACAACTTTAAGCCACAAAAGGACGAAACATAAAATATCTCCTGATACATGAAAATTACCAAATCGCCCTTCATGTTCGTAAGTCCGTAAAATCTCCATCGTAGCTCCAAATTCAATTTTGCTTGCGCCTACACGTTCATACCATTGAGTACATTAAGAATATGGTAAAATAATAGCTTATACGCATCACGAAATGACGGTTAATGAAAGTCAACAATCTTACATCTAGAGGCATTCTCGTCAATTCACTCTTTTAAAATTAATAAAATTGTAAAATTAAGGACGGGTCGTTACATGGCTCCTCTTCTATCCACATATGAAAACCTCCATTGTGAAGGCCAAATTTTGCTAATTCATGAGTCACCATGCTTCCTTCGCGTAGTTGCCATTGGTATGAAAAATAAGAGAACCTCTTATTCAAGATATCAATCTCTTTCAATATAGTACCATCCCTATCAAAACAAGCATCATTTGCAACATTTAAATCCACTATGCTTTTGGAATCTAGTTCCAATATAATAGAAGTGAATCCCGCATCGTATGCAAATAATAAACCCTCATTTTCTGCGAGCAATTCGGTTGTTAAAGCATCGAAATAACCATATAGTTGTGTTGCACAACCTGCCATTAAAGCCCCATCGTCATTTCTAGTAACAACTCCTACACCTATATTCAATCCCTTTAACGATATTGCTCCATCAACATTGACTTTGAATACGTCGCTGGTGGATGCTGCCATTGCCGATCCTCCATAGCCTCATCACCCCACACTTGGTCAATTTTGTTGGCATCTTGAAAGTTAAGAAGAAGATTGTGGAGCCTAAAATAATCTCAAAAATTCTAGAGGCAACACGTGGGCTTTTGACCAAGAAAGACAAGATTACCCTCATTAAATGGGCAGGCTCCTCGTATACTTCCACGAGCAGCTCACACCCCTGAATGTCCCAGTAATCGAATACGACTGCCCATAACTCACCTGCCATTGGCAAGGAAAAGTCAAAGCATTAAAGATAAGGATTAATTACCCAAATCCTTCCCAATTGAAGATTGACTCCATTCAAGTAAGTAATCCCAATTTAAATCAATTAGGGATAATTACTCCATTATCTCAAGATATTATTTCCTATTTAATATCTTGAGATTATTTCTCCATAAACCTTGGCCAATAGGATGCCGCCATGTGTAGGGTAAATCCTTAACACTATGGCCGGCCCTCTCCCCTATATATACCCCATATTTTACCAAATTTCAGAGGCTTTTGCTACCCTAAAAAGCCCTAAACACTTTACTATTTTTAGAGAAACTAACTTAGGCATCGGAGATCTATTGGCCTAACCACCCCTACCTTGTGGGCGTGTAAGGCTTAGATCTTTGATCAAAGGTGTTGATTGTTTTGTAGGTGCATTTTCGTCAAAGCTAGAGATGCCAAAAATTTGCATCGACAAATTGTTGTTTTCATTGAGAGTTGAATCAAATACTCGAAGAAGCCTTTTGCATTTGTTTATTGAATTTTCTGTTATGTTGAATTGTATAAATTAATTTTTCCTAGAAAAGTTTCTTGGTCAATCCCTAGAGAAAGAATACAATGGTAGGAAATTCAAAAATCATGAGGAACAGAACCCCGTACATACAAGGATTTGAATCGGAGAGTGGAGACTAGGATATAGCCCTACAATAGCGATCCTCAAGGCTCAACGTGATAGCAGGAGGAGCCCCACCGCCGAGGAGCCGCACCACTATCGTTGCCGCGACCCAGTAGCCATGGCAAGGCTACCAGGCCACAACATAAATAGCAACCCCATTGCCTTTGCAGCGGTCTAACCTTTAAAACTCTAGGTAGGAGGCTCATGTTCATTACTTGGCCCACGGGCAGGAGCCTAGGACCTCCAAGCCGCAAGCCGAGCCCAAGAGGCCCAAGTCGCAGCAGCTTAAGCCTCCAGTCAGGCAGCCCAAGCCACCAAGGCCTAAGGCCAATAGCTACAAGCGTGAGCCCAATGCGCTCACACGCATGACCTAACCATTCAGCCAGGTTGGCCCGCCCTTCAACCCGCTCTGGTGACCCGACCCATGGTCTAATCCAATCCGAGGCCACCTCTAGCGATCCAAATTCCAACCACCGGTCCCGCAATAGACTTAGGGTTATTTTCACCCCATTTTCCTGCAAGAATGCCTGCTATGGGCTCGAGCTTTGTACTTGCAGTCCACTACTCTTCCACCACACATGGAAACGCCCATTATCCAAGCTCTTCCAATCCAAATGGTAAGCATCACTTGCCCCAATAGGTCGCCAATTTGACAAATGCCCTCGCGCAGTAGACCACCTTAGTGAACCAGCACATTGAACTCATCGAGATGCAGCGCGCCCCCGACGAGGTGTCTCAAAGCAGGACGAGAGCATAAGAACGTGACTCATTCCAGCGAAATCCTGGCAAAGAACCGCTCAGCTCGCCACGAAACGTGCGTTCGAGTAGTGTGCCCTCTCGTTTGGGTACTCAGGAAAACGTTTTCTTTCGTCTAGATGCGCAGAGAAACGTTCATTCCTGACTCGGCTCACGAGTAAGTGTGCATTCGAGGTTGGGTCCACACTCTAACGAGCACTCAGGACATTCCAGACAAGGAGTCTACACGAGGCTAGGCCTACAAGGAGATCCTCATGTGAGGCACCGGAGTAGGTAGCCACATGACGGACCAAAGAGAGCACGATAACAGTCCAGCTTAAGTTTCATTAGCAGCCCTGTCAAGCGCGATAGCCAGCAACGCAGAATAAACCACGTGTACTGCTACCGAGGCATAGACAAGCAGGACATGCTGCTGCCCTACTAGGCTCAAATCGAGGATGAAGTATAAAGGCTCGTAGCAGAGTAGCTACATGGATTCTAGCGCATTGATATTACCGACGATGCCTTTCGTAGAGTCATGGCCAACCTGAGCAGGTCACCGTTTACAGACGAGATCAAGCAATCGGAGCCACCGCGAAAACATTTCACTTTGTTAAAAGAAGATGAAGATCTGAACAGGCACCTGATGCACTACCAAAGTGCTATAACCCTATAAGCTAATAATGACATTCTCATATGCAAAATCTTTGCCATGACGCTCTAAGGTGAGGTGCAAGACTGGTTCCACATCCTGCCACCATGCTCAATCTGGAACTTCAATGAACTGTTTTCACTAAGGAATATTCGTTTTACCGCTTGATCAAGAAGAAGTCTGACCACCTCTTCAACATGAAGAAAGACCCGAAGGATTTCTGCACATACGTCAAGAGGTTCAAGGCAGAGAAGGCGAAGATCGTCAGATACGATGACAGCATTGCATGCTTAGCCTTCCCGAAGGGGTTCCTAGTAGATCACCCACTTTTCGGAGAGCTGATCAATGGCGAGAACCTGACCCTAGCAGACTTTTATGCTTTGGCAGAAAAAACACTCCATCTAGGATGAGGCTAAGCGCTCCCAAAAGTCGCTTGAACAGCAGTGCAAAGATGCAGAGCCGACTTAGAAGAAGACGAGTGATAAACCACTCAATGACAAAAACAAGCCAGGAAGCAGACGTAGGGACCAATCCCCGACGAAGGGAGGCACAATGCCCAAGACATACACCAAGTTTTTAGTCTAGATCAACCAGATCCTTCGCAACCTCAAGGACAAGTTGTGGTTCAAGACGTTGCCACCCATGAGAGGGGACACTTCCAAGATGGACCAGACGAAGTACTGCACATTCCACAGAGGTTCTGGGTACACAACTAACGACTGCACCACATGGATGAAGTACCTTGAAAAGCTCGTGAAGGAAGGAAAGTGCGACCAGTATGTCGACAGACTAGTTGCCCAGCCAAGGTGAAAAACAGACGTCGATGCCGAACCTCTAGCCAAGACGATCTGAATCAACGAAATCTTTGTCGAGTCTGAAAATTTGGGGGCCACTAACACTTCCAAGAAAAGGAAGATCTAGCAGGCAAAATCTATCTTTTAGGTTCAAGCCATATATGTTGTACCTGGACCAATCGTCGGCTTCATCAAGTAGGACACGGAGGGAGTAGACTTTCCCCATGACGACATCTTGGTGATTTCTGTCCAACCGGCTAACACAAGCGTTGACATAACTATGGTGGACAACGACAACTCAGTTAACATTCTACAACTGTCAGTCATCCAGAAGATGGGCCTGGAAAACATGATCAAACACAAAGTGGAGGTCTTGACCGGATTCAACGGACTCACCTCAATCACCATTGACACTATGATGTTCGACATAACCAGCCTTTCAATTGTCTCATCACAGACCTTCATGGTCGTTAGCTACCTATTTTCCCATAATGGGATATTGGGCCGACCTTGGCTAGTGAAGATTGGAGCTGTGACCTTGATCGAGTATCAGAAGATTCGATTTCACATCCGGAATGAGTAGTTGGAGAGATCAAAGGCGACCAGGCCATGTCTCGATGATACACTGTACAAGTTCTCAAGGAGACGAAGAAGAAGTCTTTTACCCCAGCAGTAGTAGCTAAAGTGCAGAAAAACAATTTTACCTCCACCAAATAGCAATTACAGCAGGCAGGTCTAAAAGATGGCATGAAGGTCGACAATGCCTTGGCAGAGGAATCAGGATGGAAACCCAAAGAAAACGCCGAGAACATCATTCTTGACCCCCAGCAGCCGGAGAAGACGGCTAGGAATACCTACTACGTTCAATTTTGCATAGTCTAGACGCTTCTTAATGAGTGATAAAGTGGGCATTAGAACTTGGCCAATACGGTTTAGCATACCAACCCCGCACGGCGATAAAGGCCTAAGCATTGGCTGACTTCGTAGCAGAATTCACCCCAGAGGCAGCTAAGCACGCCCTAACCGCACCAGCCCCACTTGGAGGAGTTTTCTGGTGTTTATACGTTGACGGATCATCCAACTACCAGGGATCGGGAGCATGCCTAGTCCTCACTACACCGGACGGTTCGATGCTCGAGCAAGTGATCACTCTAAGCTTCAAGGTGTCAAATAACGAAGAAGAGTATGAAGCCTTACTAGCAGGTTTCTGATTGGCGAAAGACCTAGCGGTGAAGAAGCTCCCAATCTATTTCGATTCCCAGCTGATTACCAACCAAACCTCAGGAAAGTATGCAGCAAAACATCCAAGGATGACTCGATACCTCGAGAAGGTACGAGAGTAGTTAGCGATGTTCCAGGCATACAAGCTCACTCAGGTTCCACGAGCAGAAAATGCCCACGTAAACGCACTAGCAGCCCTAGGCTCTGCCTTAGACCATCAACTCAAGGCTCCATCCTAGTCTAGTACTTGGAGAAGCCGAGCATAGATGAGGAACCAACATTTGAGGTGGCGCAAATCGACATAACCCTGAGTTGGCAAGATCCCATCATCGACTACATAGTCAATGGAACGCTCCCCGTTGTAATACCCCATATTTGAAAAATGATAATTATATATGTGTGTTTGTATGAGCAAAGTTATTTTTATGTAATAATTTTATTGGGATTCTTTTTATACGCTACGTGTACAAGAACTTATACTTTTGATATGTATACTAGTGTCAACGTAAGTTCATTTTGCTACAAGATTATTTTAAAAACTAACTAGTATTATTTCAAGTTCAAATGTAATTAGAGATATTTTTAGTTTGAATAGGAGAAGGGGATTAGGATGAGTTTGACTTGATTTTTCTCACAAAGGCTAAGTGGTGTTTTGGCAACCATCAGAGAATAAAGAGGAGGGGTTAGTTACTAC